AATGCCGATAGGTGGAGATTTGAATTCAACAGGTTTCTTTTCATCCTTATACATGGAATTTCTGACTAAATGATAAAAGGATTTTTAAGACTCTTAGTTTATTAATTTTGCTAAGATGTGGAGACATGGTTGCATCCTTTTTTTTTTTTTTTTTTGGTTTTTCGAGACAGGGTTTCTCTGTGTAGCTTTGTGCCTTTCCTGGGACTCACTTGGTAGCCCAGGCTGGCCTCGAACTCACAGAGATCCGCCTGGCTCTGCCTCCCGAGTGCTGGGATTAAAGGCGTGTGCCACCACTGCCCGGCCCTTTTTTTTTTTTTTTTTTTTTAATACAGGGTTTCTTTGTGTAGCTCTGGCTGTCATGGAACTAGCTCTGTAGACCAGGCTAACCTCAAACTCACAGAAATCTGCCTGCCTCCCCAGTTCTGGGTTGAAAGGGGTGTGCCACCACTGCCTGGCTGACATTGTTGCATTATTTATTATTATATTATTATTATATCATTTATTGTGTGTATGTGTGAACTTGTGTGTGGAGAACAGAGAATAACTTTGTAGGATCGAGTTTCCCTTTCTACCTCTACATGGATTCTGGGGGTGGAACTCCCAAGCTTGGGAGGCAAGAGCCATCTCACCAGCCTCTCTCTGTTTCTTTTACAATTTTTCCCCTTTCAGTTCTGAAGATCAAACCCAGGCCTTCAATGCACACCAAGGACATGTGTGTTCTAGCCTGAGCTGCCCTGGCCCCTGGCCCCTGGCCCTGTTTACAACTTTTTTTTTTGACTGTAGCATTTTAGTCTCATATATTTCTTTTCTAATTCCTTGAAGCTCATGTTGGTTTCTTTTTAATTTTATTTATTTTATGTTTATGGGTGCTTTTGCCTGCATGCATGTCTGTGCACCATGTGCATGGCTGGTGCCCAAGGAGGTCAGAGGAGGACGTTGATCCCCTGGAACTGGCACTGCCATGTGGGTGCTGGCACTTGAACCCAGATCCTCTGCAAGAGCAGCAGTGTTCTTAACCACTGAGCCACCTCTCTAGCTTGTTGATTTTATTTCACTGCTCATTTCCTTAGTCACACTAGGTTACTAGTGTAGAAGTAACCGTCTTATTCATTAAGAAACACAGAACCAATGCAAAGAAGAAAGCCAAGAGGTCAGAGCTAAGAGCTGAAAACCTTACCCTTCCTCTCGTGGTGGTCCTACCTCTCCGAAAGAGACCTACTTCCTGTGTGTCTGTCTTTATAAAGACTTTCTGTTCTGCCTTCTCATTGGTTGTAAACCCAACCACATGACCTCCTCGTCACTGCCTGTCTGTCCAGACCTCCAGGTCTTCTGTGGTTGGTATTGAGATTAAAGGCGTGTGTCTCCAATGCTGGGTGTATCCTTGAACACACAGAGATCTACCTAGCTCTGCCTACCAAGTGCTGGGATTAAAGGCATGCACCACCACCACCCAGCTTCTGTGATGGCTTGCTATTAGCTCTGACCCCTGGGCAACTTTATTTATTAACATACAAATAAAATCACGTTTCAGTACAAATAAAATATCACCATATGCTAGTGAGTCTGTTCTGCCACAAGCTTTTCTAGCATTGTTGGGTGGGATGATTTTAGAAGGTCTACGCTCTTAATAACTCTGGGTCATTAGGTCCCAATTGGAGGCTTGGTAAGCAATGGCTAGGGCTGTAAAAAGGAGTCTTTGAAAGAAGGGCCATATTCCGTGCTCTCCTCAGACATGGCCCTCTGGGCATGCTCCTTCATTGCATTCCACCCTTGCAGCTCCCCTTTCCCCTGTTACCTACTCATCGAAACTCCTGTAGCAACAGATCTGATAACTTGGACATGTATTGTTATGGACATTTTCATTGTGTAAGCTCTGAACTAGGTAGGTAATAGATTTCGGTCTGCAAAGTGGAAGGATGCTGTAGGATATTTTGTTTGTGTTCTGACAAATAAAGCTTGCCTGGAGATCAGAGAAGCAGAGCAGCAGTCACTAGAGACTTCTTACCTCTACAAATCCTCAGACCAAATGGGGGTGAGATCCTGTCTCCACCTCCCTAGTGCCGGGATTAAAGATATACACCACCACGCATGGCTCTGTTTATCTTTTAGACTGGCTCAATCTTGTGTAGCCCAGGATGGCCTTGAACTCCTGATCTTCCTGCTTCCTCCTCCCAAGTGTTGGGATTAAAGGTATGTGCCACCACTGCCTGTCCTCTGTGGTTAACTAGTGGCTAGATCTGCCCTCTGATCTTCAGGCAAGCTTTATTTGTCAGAACACAAACAAAATATAACACAACAGAAGGAGGCAGATGGGATCGTTTCTTTACTCTCTGTGGGAAATGTGGTGAAGTACTGTGTACCCTAATAAAATTTGCCTGAAGATCAGAGAACAGAACAAGTCACTAGATTAAACATAGATGCCAGGCAGTGGTGGCACCTTTAATCCTAGCACCCAGGAGGCAGATATCCGTCTGGATCTCTGTGAGTTCAAAACCACCCGGGACTACATGAGATTGACTCAGTCTAGGAGAGAACAGAGCCAGACAGTGGTGGCACACACCTTTAATCCCAACACTTGGGAGTCACACACCTTTAATCCCAGCACTTGAGATCTCATGCCTTTGTTTGGGAAGCACACACACCTTTAATCCTAGCACAAAGAAGAAAGTGATATGGCTGGGCGGAGAAAGGTCTATAAGGTGTGAGGAGACAGGAATTAAAAGGCTTTTTGTCTGAGAACCTTTCAGCTAAGGACTCAGAGGCTTTCAAATGGAGGATTCTTGGAGTTGGCGAGGTGAGGCGTAGCTGTGCTTGTTTCTTTGTCTCTCTGATCTTCAGGCAAATTTTATTAGGGTATACAATATATCACCACACACAAGGCTGTAGTGATAGCTTCAAACTCGAAGTCACACATTGGCTGTGGCTAATCTTGGTGCGTCACAAAACAAAGGGAATAGACGTGAATGTGTGAGAGAAAGATTTGTGAAGGGTGTGTGGGGGGAGACAGAAGTGGGCAGGTGGGGGTGAGTGTGGAGGGTGAGGGAGAGGAGATAGAGGTGGGCAGGTGGGGGTGAGTGTGAAGGGTGAGGGAGAGGAGACAGAGGTGGGCAGATGGGGGTGAGTGTGAAGGGTGTTTGGGGGGAGACAGAAGTGGGCAGGTGGGGGTGAAGTGTGGAGGGTGGGGCAGGAGGAGACAGAGGTGGGCAGGTGGGGGTGAGTGTGGAGGGTGGGGCAGGAGGAGAAAGAGGTGGGCAGGTGGGGGTGAGAGAGTATGCATTGTGTACACTTGTGAGAATGTCTAAGAATAAATTAAAACCGTTAAAAAAGAAAACTAAGGGCTGGATGGACAGCTGCATGGGCAGAGGTTCAGCTTGTGCCCTGCTTCTCAGAGAACCAGAGTTCAGTTCCCCATGCAGGCAGTGTACAACCACCTGTGATTCCAGCTTCAAGGTGTACATATGCACTCAAAAGCACACACATGTATACGTCATTTAAAAAGTAAATCTTAAAAACTAACAGAGAGAGAGAGAGAGAGAGAGAGAGAGAAAGAGAGAGAGAGAGAGTGTGAGCGAGCGCATGTGTGCTGGAGAGCACGAGCTGAGCCTGGAAACCATTTATGGAAGCACATACCTGTACTTCTAGCACTTAACAGTGAATTTGAGGTCAGCCTGGGCTACATGAGATCCTGTCTCAAAACCCAGGGGTGAGTTGGGGAGAGAAAGAGGAAAAAAACAAAAAAAGAAAATGGAGCCTAGGGTCAAATGACAGTTAAGTGGTAGCGTCACAATTTGAATCCAGAGTCCCAGATTCGGAAGGCCAGGAGGCCCTTAGCTATACCACCATCCGTCACTGAGGGCAATCAGCCTTCTACTTCAGCTAATGCTGAGTAAAGATAAGTCACTTTGACAGTAGAAATTCCCACACAGCATTGTTAACTCCGTGTTGGATAATTAAACCAGACTTCCCTATGCTACTTGTACCCTCCATGGGACCTAGGGAGTCAGATTTGGAATGAGTAGGGGCAGGAGAGTACTTTGTTTTGCTCTGAATAATTCTGTATATAGTTAAATGGACTTTTCCCTCCCCTTCCTTTTAAAATGTATTACCCGTGACTGACAGTTCACAGGACCAGTCTGGTGTGTGCCCAGTGCAGGTAATCAGTGTGGTCATTACTGCACTGGCTGGTGGCAGTGTCCACAGACCTTCATCCTGTCTCCAGCCTCTGGTATGCTTTATGGTCCCTCTAGTGCGTTCCCTTAGAGGGGTTAGTGTAAAGTCGGATTATTGTCTGCCATCGGCTTCATAAAAATGTGAAAGGACGCAAAAAAGAAAAACGTTTTCCTCAGAATGGTGGCCTTCTGCGTGGTGTCTCTGCTTTCCCTGTGGAGTGAGTCCCAGCTGTCCACGTTGTTGGGTGGGGTCCTCGGTTTGTTTCCAGGCTTGTCTTCTGTGGAAGCATACTGTCACCTCAGCTTGGTGGGGCTGTATGTAGCCAGAGGCTCCCCAGCAGGCACGCAGGGTTTTTCTTTCAGGCTGCTTGGCGGTGAAGGTAGACCTTCACTGGCTGTCCCCTGAAGTGTGGGCTGGGACAGCTGTGGGCCTTTCTCCACAGTCTTGCAGCTGATGGCCAGAGCTGCCCATTCACTAAAAACAGAAGGAACGGCTAAGGAGCAAATTGGTCCCTTGATTTGGGGCAGGTAGACCCAGGGCACTGGGTTGAAGGGAAATTATTGCTGTGCAGTCGGGAGTCCTAGGACAATTAAGCAGTCCAGACAGGTCACTAGGTGACACTCATTTCCTGGTTTGTTTATTTGAGCCAGACTGTTTCTCCACCTAGCAGTCTGCTGCCCTGGTGCCCTGGCCCACAGAGAGCAGCCCTTCCCTTATGACTTCTGAGGCTTCCCCAGCATCCCAGAGAGCCTATCTGGTTGGGTGACTCTGGGGTCTCCCAGCTACAGAGTGCAGGGCGGGGCTGGTAATCTGTATTTGGTGTTTTTCAGGCCTTTGGCTTTATGTCCAGGGTTGCCCTACAAGCAGAGAAGATGAATCATCACCCAGAATGGTTCAATGTGTACAACAAGGTAGATGGACCTCTTTCTCTTGGGATCTCTTTAATTTGGGGATTGAAGAAGACTCTTTATGAATGAGGTGCTGCTGAGAAAGTGTTCTCTTATTCTCTCTCAGAAACCCAGTGTGTCATTGTTAGCACAGTTCAGGGCTTTCCTGAGAGCAGAACTATAGTTCTTTGCCCTTAGGCTTGTCTTCCAACATTTATTCCAGAGGTTTGGACTTTCCTGAGTTAATCTTGGGTATCAGCCACGAAGATAAAATTTTACTATATTTTTGTGGAGGGATATTTATTTGGAGGGATATATTATTTAAGTCAGGGTCTTCCTGTGTACCCCTGTTTGTCCTGGAACTCACTATGAACACCATGCTGGTGGGAGATCTTCCTGCCTCTGCCTCCCATTTTGTGGGATTACAGGCATGTGTTGCCATGGCCACCTCAGTTACCTGAGACCTCAGAGTTTTAATTTGAAAATAATTTATTAAAAGGAATGGTAGCAAATCAGATAGCATGGCCTTATGTGTCTTGCTGAAATGAATCTCAGAAACTGTCTCTTTGTGGTAAATGTTTATTAAAGAGATGATCTCTAGAGCATAGACTAAAATGTTTTAAGGGGTGCAGTGAGAACAGCCACACCCCCGAGAACAGCCACACCCCCAAGAGTGTCTCACCACTTGGGATATCTGTCTAGATTTCTTCAAGGGTTTGTAAATCCTCTCTGAGAAAAAGTACTTCACTGTTGTGATTTAAAAAGAAGCAATTCCTAATTGTCCAGTTCCAGGATGAATGTCTCCTGCCTGGACACTTCTCTTTGCTTTTTAATCTTGTTGAGTGATGTCCCCACCCATGCTTCCTCATTTGGCAGCCTGCTTTTCTACCTCACTCAGGTACTGCCTGATAGGTTGGCTTGCCCTTTCTTAGTGGCCTGAACAGGGTTGGTGTAATTAAAGTTCTGGGAGTTAAAATGGAGCTTTCGTCTCTGTTCTTTTTTCCCAGGAAACAAGCTTTTCCATGCTGGAAGCTAACTCCCCTTGTCCTCTGGGAGCCTTCCCTCCTGGGTGGCTGTCCCACAAAGCATGTGCAGCCCACACCCCAAGCTGTCTGGGTTTGGGAAATGCAATGTTTATTCATAATGTAGCGTTTTCTAAATCATCTACCTCCAATTCTCAAATATGAATGTTGAGAAATAGATTGATTTCCAAACGACCTAGGGTCTCTCCCACAGGTCTCTCTCAGATCTGAAAAGCTGCTTTTCTCTTTGTAGGTCCAGATAACTCTCACTTCACATGACTGTGGAGGCTTAACCAAACGGGATGTGAAGCTGGCCCAGTTCATTGAAAACGCTGCTGCTTCTCTGTGATCTCTTTCAAAATGCACGTAAAGATCTAACACCTGACTTGTCTGCAGTGTTTTTGAAGGCCATTTATGTGAATAAATTAAGTAATAAATTAGTTTGTTTTTGCATATATACATTTTTGTATAGTTGGTGCTTAAATACAGAATGATTTGAACCCGAAGCCTGAGTTATTTTTTATTACATCTAGTCAGACATATAATAAACACCTGAGTTATTATTTAAAAATTGAAAGTGTGTGTGTGTGTGTGTGTGTGTGTGTGTGTGTGTGTGTGTGTGCGCGTGCACGCGCATACAGCTGCTTATGGAGGCCCGAGGTGCAGGATCCCCTGGAGCTCGGGTCAGGCAGTTGTGAGCTGTGTGACGTGGGTGCTGAAGCTGTACTTAGGGCCTCTGAAGAGCAGTGTGAGCTCTTGTCTGCCGAGCCATCTCTCCACCCTGGCCTGGTTTGTTACAGGAATTAAATTTTCAAAGAAATAGAACTTTTACATTTTTTTCTAAACAGGGTCTCACTGTATAGCCAGGCTGAATTTGGATTCTCTATATAGTCCAGACTGGCCTGGAAAAAAAAAAAAACACTGGAATTTTGTTTTTAGATATATTTATTCTATGTATATGATTTTTTTTTTTTTTTTTGAGACAGGGTTTCTCTGTATCCTTGGCTGCCCTGGAACTTACTCTGTAGCCCAGGCTGGCCTTGAACTCACAGAGATCCACCTGCTTCTGCCTCCCAGTGCTGGGACTAAAGGCGTATGCGCCACCACCGCTGCCTGCTTTGTATGATGCTTTGCCTGCATGTGTATATGTGCACCACATTCGTGCCTGGTGCCTGTGGAGGTCAGAAGAGGGCCGTGGACCCCTTGTAACTGGAGCTATGGACGTTTTAAGCTGTCATGTGGGTGCTGGGAATTGAATCCGGGTCTTCTGCAAGAAGAGAAAGTGTTCTTAACCTCCGAGCCATCTCTCCAGCCCCCAGATGGCATTCTTTTTTTTTTTTTTTTTTTTCGAGACAGGGTTTCTCTGTGTAGCTTTGCACCTTTCCTGGAACTCACTTGGTAGTCCAGGCTGGCCTCGAACTCACAAAGATCCGCCTGACTCTGCCCCCTGAGTGCTGGGATTAAAGGCGTGCGCCACCACCGCCTGGCTCAGATGGCATTCTTAAAGGCCACACTGGGGACATTTTGTCACCCAGAAACTAGAGATCAGGATTTTGTAACAGTGCTGGAGAATGGTTGGAAGGGACTCCCCACTGTGAAGATGTGTTCTTAGAGTAATTCTCACAAAGCTAGAGCTGTTTTGGGTTTAGCTGCTTTACTACTTGAATAGTTAATTTTATTACACGTTACAAAAATTGGATGAGTTATCTTGGTTATGTTTACTTTTTGGACCAGGGGTTGAAGGAGAGGACAAGTGTCTTGTCCATGGCTCCAGTAAGATGTGGCAATTCAAGGACTTCCTATCATCGCGATGGCCCCCTCTCCATTATTGGGCTTTAATGAATTGAGAAAGAACTAAGAGCCATACGTTTTCACAGTGTGTGTTGTCACCGGTGAACTGAGTGTCTGACTTAGTCTCTACTGAAGATCATCTCTGTAAGGACCTCACTCCACAGGCCTGAAGAGCAATCGTATTCGGAGCAAAACCCCTTACTGCCCCACCATGCCACTGCTGCTACAACATGAGGAACCTGTGTGGTCACGTGAGAAGGTCCAAGCTCCCCCAAACCAGTTCCTGGCCGGTTCAGTTAGCCGTGCCTTAGTTCCTTTCTCATTGCGAACAAATGTCCTAAAGAAAGCGGCTTAAAGGAGGAGGAGGGTTTATCCTCTGAGGCTCTCCATTAGCGGCTACAGTCCATCAAGGCGTGAAAAGGTGGCCGCAGGTATGTGAACTGGTCACATTGCATCTGTAGTCAGGAACCTATGGGATGGTGCTTAGGTGGGCCCCCTCTTCTCAGTTAGCCCCCATAGACATACCCAGAGGTGTGTCTCCTGGTCAACCTGACACAGCATACTACCGTCCCATTTTATTTTAAATTAATTTTAGCGTCATATACAATGTAGCGATTAGTGTTTGCTAATTTTTGTTTGTATTTTCAAGACAGGATATCCTGTATCTCCGGCTCACCTCCTTCTTGCTGTGGGATGTTCTGTATGTTAAATGTGTTGCTCTAATTGGTTAATAAATAAAACACTGATTGGCCAGTAGCCAGGCAGGAAGTATAGGCAGGACAAGGAGAGAATAAATTGTGGGAACAGGAAGGCTGAGGCAGAGAGACACTGCCAGCCACCGTCATGACAAGCGAGATGTAAGGTACCGGTAAGCCATGAGCCATGTGGCAACTTATAGACTAATAGATATGGGTTAATTTAAGATATAAGAACTAGATAACAAGAAGCCTGCCGCGGCCATACAGTTTAGAAAAAATATAAGTCTCTGTGTTTTTACTTGCTTGGGGTCTAAGCAGCTGTGGGACTGGTGGGTGAGAGAGAGATTTGTCCTGACCGTGGGCCAGGCAGGACTGGAGAAAACTCTAGCTACACCTTCTCTCTTTAAAAAATTTATTTTTAATTTGTATGTATGTGCCTGCATGAGTTTATGTGTGCCATGTGCATGCAGGTACCCAGAGAGGCAGGAGGGTATTGGATCTTCTGAAACTGCAGTTACAGGTGGCTGTGAGCCACCAAACATGGATTCTTGGAATCAAACATAGGTCTTCGGCAAGAATAGTAAGTACTCTTAAAGCCTGAGCCATCTCTCTAGTCCCCAAAGGAATGGTTTTCTCATGGCATCTTCATACATATTATACTTGGTGGGAACATGGAATTTAGGGTAACCTAAGTCTGTGTTCCTGGGTCGTAGTCATGCAGAATGGCTCCGTAATAAATGACCTCTTACTTCCTTTTGAAGGTGAGATCCATGTTTGTTTGTTTTTGCATTGACAAAGGTTATAGTTAAGAAGTAAAAAGAAGCCCGTGGTGGTGGCACATTTCTTTAATCCCAGCACTCGGGAGGCAGAGGCAGGTGGATCTCTGTGAGTTCGAGGCCAGCCTGGTCTACAGAGCGAGATCCAGGACAGCCAGGGTTACACAGAGAAACCCTGTCTCGAAAAACCAAAAAAAAATAAAATAAAATAAAATAAAAAGAGAAAAGGACGAGAGAAAGAAGATGGAGGGCTAAGAGGAGGGGCCTGTGAGACTCATGACTGGGGGGTAAAGAAGGCCTGATAGCACACTGTGGGGGGAGACACGGGGGGAGACACGGGGGGGAGACGGGGGGAGACACGGGGGGGAGACGGGGGGAGACACGGGGGGGGGAGACGGGGGGGAGACACGGGGGGAGACACGGGGGGGAGACACGGGGGGGGAGAGACACGGGGGGAGACGGGGGGAGACACGGGGGGGGGGAGACGGGGGGAGACACGGGGGGGGGAGACGGGGGGGAGACACGGGGGGAGACACGGGGGGGGGACACGGGGGGGGAGACACGGGGGGGACAGACACGGGGGGAGACACGGGGGGAGACACGGGGGGGACAGACACGGGGGGGGACACGGGGGGGAGACACGGGGGGGACAGACACGGGGACAGACCACGGGGACAGACACGGGGGGAGACACGGGGGGGGGACACGGGGGGAGACGGGGGAGACACGGGGGGAGACACGGGGGGAGACAGGGGGGACACGGGGGGGAGACACGGGGGGGGGAGACGGGGGGGGGACACGGGGGGGAGACACGGGGGGGGACATGGGAGACACGGGGGGGGACACGGGGGGGGAGACACGGGGGAGACACGGGGGGAGACACGGGGGGGGAGACACGGGGGGGGGACACGGGGGGGAGACATGGGGGGAGACACGGGGGGGAGACACGGGGGGGGACGTGGGGGGGAGACACGGGGGGAGACACGGGGGGGGAGACGGGGGGGGACACGGGGGGGAGACACGGGGGGGACACGGGGGGGGACACGGGGGGGGACACGGGGGGGACACGGGGGGGAGACGGGGGGGGAGACACGGGGGGGAGACACGGGGGGGGACACGGGGGGGAGACACGGGGGGGGAGACGTGGGGGGGAGACGTGGGGGGGGACACGGGGGGACGTGGGGGGGGACACGGGGGGGACACGGGGGGGAGACACGGGGGGGGACACGGGGGGAGACACGGGGGGAGACACGGGGGGGGACACGGGGGGAGACACGGGGGGGAGACACGGGGGGACATGGGGGGGGACACGGGGGGGAGACGGGGGGGGGACACAGGGGGAGACACGGGGGGAGACACGCGGGGGAGACACGGGGGGAGACACGGGGGGGACACGGGGGGAGACACGGGGGGGGGGGAGACATGGGTGGAGAGACATGGGGGCAGGAGAGACACGGGAGGGGGAACACAGACAGACACATGGACCATGACACATAAGCATGGTCCTAAAACCTAACCCAGAAGAACACAGAGACCATTGTGAGACATATATGCAAACCAGAAATTAAATATTAGGAGCCTAGAGAAAAAATCCTAACGGGTGAAGTTTTCAGATCCTTTTGGCTCTAGCTCAGTGGTTCTCAACCTTCCTAATGCGGAGACCCTTTCAGGCAGTTCCTCACATTGTGGTGACCCCCCCAACCATAAAATTATTTTTGTTGCTACTTCATAACTGTATTTTGCTACTATTATGAATCATAATGTAAATATCTGATATGCAGGACAGTCTTAGGCAACTCCTATACAAGGGTTGCTGTGGGATGTCTTTCTGTATGCTGTGAATATATGTTGTCCCCATTGGTTAATAAATAAGCTGCTTTGTCCTATGGCGAGGCAGCTTAGAAGCAGGTGAGAAATCCAGGAGAGAGACAGGAAAGAGAGAAGCGGAGTCCAGGGAGACACCAGCACCACCAGGAGAAGCAAGATGTGAAAGTACCGGTAAGCCACGGCCACATGGCAGCTTATAGATTAATAGAAATGGGTCAAGTTAGAAGAGCTAGCTAGAGAGAAGCCTGACCCGTAGGCCATGCAGTTTGTAAATAATGTAAGCCTCTGTGTGTTTACTTGGGACCAAGCAGCTGTGGGAGGCAGGTGGGAGAGATCCATCCTGACTGCAGGGCCGGGCAAGACAGGAAGAAACTTATGGCTACAAAGGGTCACTGGACCCCAAAGGGGTCATAACCCACAGGTTGAGAATCACTGCTCTAGATGATTCCACATGATGCTGTGTGGGTAAGGAGAGAAGCCATGGTTTCAACAAAGCTTTACTGTTCCTGGGTTTTTGGTGTATGGTGCAGGGAGGTTATAAGTCCTTGGACCCCACACTCCATCTTGGCTCTTCTGGTTCTTCAGATCTGGTGTGTGTAAAAACATCACTTCACTTGCAGCTACCAAATACTTTTTAAAGCTTTTCTTTTTTTGTTTGCTGTTTTAATCCACAGGTAATTAGATGGAGCTAGGCATGGCACACACCTATAACCCGAGCACACTGCACTGAGCAGGAGGGACTGTATATAGGAGAGGAGTTCAAGGTCATTCTCTGCTACATATGAAGGTTTCAGAACAGCATGGGCTATATCAGACTGGGTCAGAAAACCAATTTAAAAAATTGTGTATCGTTATGAGACACAGTGTGATGTTCTAGTGCATGTGTATATTGTGCATTGACCAACTCGGGGTACTAATCTCAAACATTTACCATCTTGGGATCGGATTTGAAGTCCTCTCCTCTATTTTATTGTATGACACAATATTGTTGATTATAACCACCAGGACTTATTTCTTCTACTCTGTAGGGTAGAGATGCTATTATTTCTCAATTCAGTGTTTTAGTTGCTTATGTGAGTATTTTTCCCACCAGCAATGGACACGGACACACGTGTGTTAGAATACTAAGGACTTGCCGGGGTAGAGTGCTTGCCCAGCACACAAGGTTGTAGGTTCCACCCGAAAACTGCAGACAATAGAAAAGAAAGAATATTAGGACAGTAGAGATGGTGGGGTGGCTACCCCATTTCCTTATAGCTCAAGAACTTGTGTTTTCAGGAAATGGACTAACTCAGAGACTAACCATTTAATATTACACGGCACTCCAGATCTCTGTCTTGCCTTGTGAGAATCAAGCCAAAGCAGGGCAAGGATGAAGATACTAATTTTGAAGGGTTGAACAGAACTAAATCCCTATAGCTCTTGTGCTTAAAAACATCTCTAGGTCTTGGTGTAGCTGGAAGCCCGGCAGACCCGTGTTTCTCCATCCCGCCTGGCCCCGCAGTCCCAAAGCCACTTACAAAACAATCACTCAGAAGTTTAATATTAATTGCAAATTCTATGGCCTGTGGCTCAGGCTTCTCGCTAGCTAGCTCTTACAACTTAAATTAACCCATTCCTGCTGCTCTATATGTTACCATGTGGCCATGGCATTACGGGTGTGCTGGCATCTTGTTGCTCCCTGGATGGGTTTGGCATCTCTCCTTACTCTGCTCTTACTCTCTCCCTTGGATTTTCCCGCCTGCACCATAGGCCAGTGCAGCTTTTTTATCAACCAATCAGAGTAACACATATTCACAGCATACAGAAAGACACCCCACAACACTTGGGCTCATTCCTCACACTCTTGAGTTTCCACACTGTTCATGACCATCCTCTGAGCCAAACAACCAGCATCTTTGGGAGTTCAGCTGTTGCTGGCTTGCAAGATCATCCCAGCTGGACTTGTTGACTGTTGACGTCTCACATAGAAGGAAGGATGGGACGCTCACAGGACCCTTACCTGAGTATCCAGCCACTCCATACCATATGTTGCATGCAGTTCTGCCCTGATTGCTTATGGCCTCAGGGCAGGGCTAGAGTATATGGGCTGGTGAGGGTTAGGGGAGGGTGCCTTCATTTATGCATCTATGGGAAAGCAATGATTCCTGCTGGGTAGAGACTTCACAATGTGGCCTTAGGTGGGGAACTCCCTTACTCCTGTATGTAACCCCTTATCTGTGCTCTGTAAGTAAGCCCAATAAACTGAGAAAGAAATTGGACACAATACTCTCTGGATTTGTCCTTGGGACCTTAGACATTGTTCATATTTTCCTCAGGAAAGGAGTTTTGGTTGCCACATCCCAAACTTCCAAATAGCAAGACCTGCGATGCTTTCTCTGACTTCCCTGGATTTTTGTGTCCACAGCCTCCCCCATCGCCATCTTCCTTTGCTTCTAGATGTCATTGGTCTTGGCTCTGGGTATGTTCTGTCCCTCAGAAACTCAGAAAACTTAAATTTTCCTCCTACATGACCCTCAACTTGTCTTACCATCTTATAAAAGGCCTTTGTCTGCCAGAGTGGGCATATCATAAGGGAAAGTCTTAACGCCTCTAATGTCCCGCTTTGCCTCCATTGCTAGGCACTCATCTGAGGCATTCCCCACCCCATGAAGAGGGACTTGCAAGCAGATGAGCCCACAGTCAGGACTCCCTCTCAGGCTAGTAACTGCTAGAATACCTAAGATGACCTCATAAAGCAGAGAATCCTTTCCAGCATCCCTCTCACTGCCTTTAGAATCCAGGTGCCCAAAGAAATCCTTAGGCAGAGGTTTTGGGTTATATGATAAAAGCAAGGGATAAAAACAGAAAATTTGGGAGATGACTCATCACTTTTACCACAGCTCCGTAAGAGTTGTATCTAGCTCACTGTTTGATACTGCGTCAGAGGCATTGTATGCAAGAATCAAGAAAATTAAGTAAGTATCCTTTACCTCCATGGTCAGAAAATGTGTGAAGGGAAGCATGGGGGCAGGGCACCTGAACTCTCCTAGCTGCTCCTGCAGGTACTTGTCTGCATCCCAAGAGAGGAAAGCATCTCAGACACGCTGGTTTCTCTGGAGGGTGAGGTTGGCACATTTGCTGGTCACTTGGAGTCTGAATTTGATTCTGCTGTTTATTAAGGTATTAGATGATTTGAAGGCCTTTTTTCCTTTATTTTGCTACAGGACTTATTTCAAATCATATAATAAACATTACATATTTTGCTATAGGTTATAAGGTAGATAGTCTGTAGCAGGCTTTCTCAGACTGCCAGCCCCCAAATCACGACATGGAGACTTATTATTAGTTATGAATGCTCGGCCCTAGATTATGCTTGTCCCATCAGCTCTTATAACTTAGTTTAATGCATTTCTCTTCATCTATGTTTTGCCTCCAGACTTTTTACCTTTCTTTCATTCTGTATGTCCTACTCTGTGTCTGTCTGTCTGGTGGCTGGCTGGCCCCAGGTCTCTCTCTTTCCCCCTCATTCTTTCCTCCTCCCCTGGAACCTAGATTCTTCCTCCTCATTCTCTCTGCCTGCCAGCCCTGCTATCCCTCTCCTGCCTAGCTATTGGCCATTCAGCTTTTTATTAGACCAATCAGGTGCCGTAGGCAGGCAAAGCAACATATCTTTACATCATTAAACAAATGCATCATAAACAAATGTAACACATTTTTACATTGTTAAAGTAGTATTCCATAACATTTCCCCCTTTTTGTCTAAATAAAAGGGAGGTTTTAACTTTAACATAGTAAGACTATATACAGTAAGAAAATTTATCAGGTAAGAATATCCAGTCCATTTGTATTTGGCAAGTTCAGAGAAAACACTCCGTTATTTGTCCTATCTTGATTGAGTCCAAAGTTTTGTACCTAATTTACCTTCTATCATAACTAAAGAATACTCTAACTAGCTAGTCTTCAACTACATCAAAGACCCCATAAGGATATTATATTGCCTGAGTAAACAGGAAGTGCAGTGTAAGCCACTTTCAAAACTATAGAAATGACAGAGACATCTGGCTGCCTGGATAGTTACCCAAATTTCCTCTGCAACATTGGGGCATCCATCTTCACCTTACAGGCCTAGAATATCTGGCAGACTTTTCTATGAAGCAGGGATTTTGAAGGCCTATCCTGCCTTGTTTTTGCAAAGTTTGGCAGTCTTTTTCCTTTGTGTTCTGCTTGTCCATTTTGGATGGTATACTGTCAGCAGTTGAGGCAAGGACAATTTCTTGTCCAAATGCTAGCTTTGTCATATTGAAAGTAAACTCTATATGAAGATTTCTTGATGTCTGTCATCCTTTTATGAAGTAGATTGGTGCTGCCAGGAGCAGACATGTCTCAATGTTATGAAAAGCCCCATCTTATTAAACATCTTAAATACCATATTCTGTAGGTCTTTGAACTGTTTGATGATCACCTATGTATCTAAAATGTATGTGTTTAAACTTGAAAACATACCTAATATGACTACAAGATTGACTATTGTAGATGACTAACTACTAATCTGCATTTCCTAATTATACATTACATTTTTAAATGAGCTGCATAAGCACAATACCCCAAATAAGAGTAGAGTAGAAACATACATATAGTATAACAAAAATAACTTTAAATTTGTATAAATATACCCAACCCATAACCCCCCCAATGTAAAATATTTGAAGTTAATAGTTGTCTTTTTTTTTTTTTTTTTTTTTTGAGACAGGATTTCTCTGTGTAGTTTTGGTGCCTGTCCTGGATCTTGCTCTGTAGACCAGGCTGGCCTTGAACTCACAGAGATCCACCTGGCTCTGCCTCCTGAGTGCTGGGATCAAAGGCGTGTGCCACTGCCACCTGGCAATAGTTGTCTTTTTATCCCATATTCCTATATCCCCCCTAAACAATGACAAGCATCCATAACCCACCGAATGACCAAAAACCACCCACCTCACATCTTGGGAATGTGGGCATTGTGTTCTTTAGACTGCTTCCTGTTGTCTAGGGTGATGGCATCTTTAAGGAACCCTGAGAAAATTGAGATAATGGTCAAGTTCTGGGAAAACTAGTTGTAACATTTGTTGTCCAGTCTCAGAACTGTTGCCATGCAGAGGGATCAGTATATATGTCACCTGTCTTGTAGTTTTTCTTGGTTTATTTCTTTATATCTGTAGCCAAGATTTTCAGGAGGTCTCCCCCAAGTCAAACCTGATCTCCATTAATCTTAAAAGAATCCACAGCCTTTCATTTCCTGTGGAAACAAAAGCATAACCTCTTCCCCAATGCAATACATTTTCTGAATTCCATTTTAAAGTTAAGCCATCCCTAAAGTATCTAGGCTGGTTTAATTCAGCAGTCCCTTTTACAATCCTTTGTCTCTCAGCAGTGGCCGTTCACTCATCAGCATTCAAAAAATTCAAAGTCAACACCATACAGGATCCAGACACCCTGTGTATTTTCCATCTTTATGTGGCTTTCCCCCTTTATATTACTTTACTTTCTCTTTAAAGACTTTATTATTTTTATACTGTATTTTTTCCCTATGACTGTGTATACCCATTTTCTTTCTTAAGCCTATGTGTATACCCATTTTCTTTCTTAAGCCTATGTGTATTTTTGAACACACTGTAACCTGTTTTTGTTTTTTTTTTCTCCCCAATCTGGACCTGTCTTTATTGCATGTCTCTAGCTTTTTCTGACCATGTGAGCCAAACCTTAAACTGCTAAGTGGCTTTGGACTGGCAGCTGGCTCTGCCCCACTCAGGTCCATGAGAGCCAACTTTTATGACCCTTGAGCCTGGCTGAGAGCTGTGTCTAACTGGGAGCTGCATTCAACCACCCCGACTCTAGGTAGCTCATGACTGCACTGTGGCCGGTGTTTTTACTTGAAGTGCCAGCTACTCAAGTGCTCGCTGTATGGCAGAGCTTCTTAAAGGAGCCATGTCCATTTATTTTATTTTATTCCCAGTGTTCTCAGGTCCCATGTGGAAATTTGGACCCCATATGGGAATGCCGAATGTAGCAGACTTTCTTTTAGGCCACCAGACAACTTCCAAAACATGACATGGAGACTTATTATTAAATATGAATGCTCTGCCTTAGCTTATGCTTGTTCAACTCTTATAACTTAAATTAACCTGTTTCTCCTCATCTACATTTTGCCTCAGGGCTTTTTACCTTTCTTTCACTATGTATGTCCTACTCCGTGTCCTACTCCATGTCCGTTGCCTGGCTGACTGGCTCTGGGCATCTCCCTCTTTTTCTCCTTTGTTCTCTTTCTCTTCCTCCTACTTATTCTCTCTCCCTCCCTCCTCTTTCACCTAGACCCCTCCTCCTACTTATTCTCTCTGCCCAGCCCCGCCTACTCCTCTACTGCCTAACTATTGGCTGTTCAGCTTTTTATTAGACCAATCAGGTGCCTTAGGCAGGCAAGGTTAACCGGCAACACATTTTTACATAATTAAATGCAGCATAAATGTAACACATCTTTACATTGTTAAAGTAATATTCCACAATAATAGTCTGGGTTTTTTTTGTTTTGTTTTGTTTTTCCTGTGTGTGTGTGTGTGTGTGTGTGTGTGTGTGTGTGTGTGTGTGTGTTATGTGAGTGCTAGCATGTGTGTATGTGCACCATCTGCATGTGTGGTACCCACAGAGGCCAGAGGAACTTCAGCTCTGCAGGTGCTTTGTGTCTTAAGATAAAGGCCTCACTATGTTGTAGGTTCAAGCTGTCTTCCCGCCTCAGCCTCCTGAGTAGGCTTGGGGTCACAGGTGCAGACTGTCACAGTTGAATTCTCTCTCTCTCTCTCTCTCTCTCTCTCTCTCTCTCTCTCTCTCTCTGTATATATATTGACCTGTAAGGAAATGTATTTATTTGTTACAGATAGTAGGAAAAATATACTACTCTTTAAGAAAACTTTTAAAGCATTGATATATGTAAATAAATAGAAAAAAGAATGCCTGTGGCCTCACTGCTCAGAGTAGACACTGTCAGTATGTTACCAGCTTACAGTGGACACTGTCAGTATGTTATCAGCTTACAGTGGACACTGTCAGTATGTTATCATTACAGTGGACACTGTCAGTATGTTATCGGCTTACAGTGGACACTGTCAGTATGTTACTATCTTACAGCGGACACTGTCAGTATGTTACCATCTTACAGTGGACACTGTCAGTATGTTATCAGCTTACAGCAGACACTGTCAGTATGTTACCATCTTACAGCGGACACTGTCAGTATGTTACCATCTTACAGTGGACACTGTCAGTATGTTACCATCTTACAGTGGACACTGTCAGTATGTTACCATCTTACAGCGGACACTGTCAGTATGTTACCGGCTTACAGTGGACACTGTCAGTATGTTACCATCTTACAGCGGACACTGTCAGTATGTTACCATCTTACAGCGGACACTGTCAGTATGTTACCATCTTACAGTGGACACTGTCAGTATGTTATTGGCTTACAGTGGACACTGTCAGTATGTTACCATCTTACAGTGGACACTGTCAGTATGTTGCCGACTTACAGCAGACACTGTCAGTATGTTGCCATTGCTCTGGGTGAATCTCCTACTTATTTGTATGTGGACAAAATCTTTTTGAGATGAGTATGTTTCCATCTTGTTTTGTTTTCCTGCTTTGTTCTCCACCAGATCATAATCATTTTTCTAAGCCATGAGAAGATGCGTAGATACACTTTTGGATCAGTATTTCATGGTATGATACTCCATAGTTTACTTAACAAATCTTTTAAAATTAAAAAATTGATGTGTGTATGTTTATATGTGTAGGGCATGTGCATGCCCTGACATCTTTGTGGAGGTTGGAAGACAACTTTTGGTATCTACCATGTGGGGCCTGGGGTTTGAGCTAAAGTCGCTGGGCTTGGCTGTAAGTGCCTTTATCTCCTGAACCATCTCACTAGCCTGTAACTAGTCCTTTCGGTTAGGTTTTAAAATGGTTTTCAAGTACTCATCACTATAAATAATCCTGGGATAAACGTGATGAACTAAGTCACTGTGTACATTTCCAGTGTATTCTTTTAGGCTAGAGTCTGGGGGAGAGGACATGAACAGTTCTTTCGTTGTTGTTGTTGTTGTTGTTGTTGTGTTGTTTATTTTGTTTTTTAAATCAAAGCCGATCAATGTAGGTTTCCCTGTTCCTTAGGAAGAATGTCCCATCACAGTCCATTTTTTCAGGCCTGAAATATTATCACATGAAAGTTTTGACTTATTTTATAAGCAAAAACCCACAAAGGTATTACTTTGTGTATTTCTGATACCATTTGTACTGTCATGATTGGATGTGTGTCCCTTTTCTCTTAGGGTGTTTGACTTTTTATCATAGACTTGCGTGTGTGTGTGTGTGTGTGTGTGTGTGTGTGTGTGTGTGTGTGTGTGTATGCTAATGCATTACCAATTTTTCCTGTGATATGTTCCCCTAATTCCCTGCTGTTTACTGACAGTAGTCACGTGGGGACGATTTGTTAAATAAGTAAGTGGAGATGGTGTTCCCTCGGTCTGAGAAGTAGTGACTGCTCTTTCTCAGGAGTCCAGGGAGAAGATGAGACAGGCTGTTCTGACCACCACCCATGTCTCAGGGGCCACTCATTTAGCTGTTTACAGGCCCCTGTACAGTTCTCTTCACAGTGTGTGGGGAACAACCCCTGAGGGGGCACTGTGGTAACCGCGCCTCTCATTCGCCCTTTGACAGGAGGAAGGATGTTGAATGCCAGGCGTTCTTTAGGAAGGTCATAAAGAACCCCATTTTCCAGGTCCTCATGATCAGCACCATCACGTCCAATGCTGCCTTCATGGTCTTGGGGACTGATTACAGCATAATGTACAGACTGTTCAGACTCTTCGAGGTGAGCACACAGATGCTTTAGTTCTACTTTGCCTGCTTTATTTCTGAAAATGTTAAAATATTTCCCAGGCATCTGGCTGCAAGGAGTGTTCTACAGAAACAACTCAGAAGACTTTTGACTTCTGCAGTGGCATCAGACAGTGGCCGAAGCAGCAGTGGTGATGTGATCTCCCAGAATTCTCTCTCATTTGTAAACAGAGAAACTAGATCTCATATCCAAGACTCACGGGCAGCATTTCTGATGAAGCCAGTGTTGGTCCCTGTGGGGAGGAAGCAGAGGGGCAGGAGGGAAGGGTGTGCTGGGCTGAGGTGAGGCTTGATGTTCGAAGCAAGTGTGTTGCCCATGCCAGTAGTGAGTTCAGAAAGTCAGTCTCTCCAAAGGGGCTGGAACAATCCAGAACCAAGGAGCTTGAAGAACTGACCAGGCAGAGCTCCCTCCAAAGGACTGTGCACTTAGGAGAATGGGAGTAAGATTTAGCAAGCTGGAGACATACAGTTTTTTTTTTTTTTTTTTGGTTTTTCGAGACAGGGTTTCTCTGTGTAGCTTTGCGCCTTTCCTGGATCTCACTCTGTAGACCAGGCTGGCCTCGAACTCACAGAGATCCGCCTGGCTCTGCCTCCCGAGTGCTGGGATTAAAGGCGTGCGCCACCACTGCCCGGCAACTGGTAACAGATTTTTTTTTTTTTTTTTTTTTTTTTTTTTTTTTTTTTTTTTGGTTTTTCGAGACAGGGTTTCTCTGTGTAGCTTTGCGCCTTTCCTGGAACTCGCTTTGTAGACCAGGCTGGCCTCGAACTCACAGAGATCCGCCTGGCTCTGCCTCCCGAGTGCTGGGATTAAAGGCGTGCGCCACCACCGCCCGGCCAGATTTTTAAAAAAAAGACAGGGTTCAGATAAAACAGAAGGAAATAGAATTGAAACAGCCCCCCAAATGAAGCGGTTGCATTTTAGGAGCAAAGCTCAGTGGAGTTAGAAGCATATGTTCTTAAAGGTTAGGAAATGAATTTAGGATAAAAAGTACAATAGTAAAGGACTGAGGTAAAATAGCACACATTAGTATAAGAAAGCAGAACAAGGAATCTGATCATAGAGGCAATGAAACCCCATGGTACAGATAAGTCTACAAAATCAGATAAACACAATAACATCCCCCGAGAGCAAAGCAACGTTAAGGAAAACATTGTACGTGCAGAGGGAACAGAAACACAGTGACAGAACTCAGGAAACAACTAGAAATCAAATAAAACTGTTTCAAAACCAAAGGCTAGAGTAGAGCGAACAGTTTGATACAACAGATGATAGCTTGAGTTAATTTGAGGAATTAAAAAAACTCATTAAAAATGGAAGTGATGAAAAAATGCTGAGTACTTGTGTTGAGGAAAAGATCCTGGATAAGGATATCCAGGATTGGAATGCTAAAAATCGAAACCCGAGAAAAATCACCCCAAAATCTGTATGTTGAAAGAGTGCACATTGCACACCCAAGAATATGAACTCAACCCAGCAAACACTAGGACACTGGGGTGAAATGTTTGGGCTTCAAGGATTCTGGGAAGTCCAGCTAATGAAGAAGCAAATCACCATCACACTTCTCTGTGGCCACACTGTCTGTCCAAAGATAGTGCAGTGACATGCTCAACTTCCCTCAGGAAAGAAAATGTGAACCAAGAAGGGACTCAGGCTTTATAAAAGGCACAAACTCACTGATGTTCAGACTCATGGTGTGAGCTCTAATCCCAATTATGTAATTACCCATAAGTGCCTGCCCTTCCTCATGGATTCACTTAGGAAAAAGTCTCAGCCAGCCCAAATGGCTGAAGAAGCATCACTTTGGTGCTTTTGGTGATGAACATGGCAGGTATAGTTGTCTGTAGAATTACAAACAACTCTAATGCTGATTGTCATTTCACAGGAAAAAGCATAGCACATAATGAATTTATTCTTTGATCCTAAGGCTCTATAGCGTGACTGAAAGATGGACAATGGGGCAAGCCATTACAAAAAGTTTTTTTTTTGGTTTTTCGAGACAGGGTTTCTCTGTGTAGCTTTGCGCCTTTCCTGGGACTCACTTGGTAGCCCAGGCTGGCCTCGAACTCACAGAGATCCGCCTGGCTCTGCCTCCCGAGTGCTGGGATTAAAGGCGTGCGCCACCACTGCCCGGCTTTTTTTTTTTTTTTTTTTTTTTTTTTTTTTTTTTTTTTTTACAAAAAGTTTTATAACTTTGTTTTTTGAGACAGGGTTTCTCTGTGTAGCCATGTCTGTCCTGGAACTCACTCTGTAGACCAACCTGGCCTCTAACTCACAGGAGTCCTCCTGCCTCTGCCTCCCCAGTGCTGGGATTAAAGGCATGAACCACCACTGCCTGGCAAAACTTTTTTTAATTTTAAAATTGTCTTTATTTTTTTTGAGAATTTCATACATATATACAATAAAATATGATCATATACCTCTTCCTCTTCCCCCAACATGCCCCCCAACATGCCTCTACCAAAATTTAATCTTTAACATGTTTTTGATGACCCACTTGTCCAGTTAGTGTGTAATTACCCATAAGTGCCTGCAGCATGTGCTGGCCCTCTGAGAGCTAGCCAGCAGGGAGGGCATTTCCTGGTTGGTTTGAGATGATTTCTTTATGTCCTGTGCCTTCTCTGTGGTCATCTCTCTGCTGAAAGAAAGTGTGTGTTATTTTAGCAACAGGCTCTTACCATGTGGACCCATGTTTAACAATTACCTTAATCGTGATGTACACAGTAGTGCTATTCTGAGACACTGTGAAATTTGTGCTAAAGCACATGGGTAATTGTGGAATTTTTCTCTTCTGTTTATTTTTTTCAGGGGAGAGGGTGTGCTCACACATAGTAGGCAAGCACTCGACCATCAACTTACATCTTCCACCCAGGAGAGCTTACATTTTATTTTCTTCCATCTTTCATGTTGTTTGTTTGTGGTATTTATCTGTCTGTTTATAGCAAGCTCTTATGTGTGGCCCAGGCAGACTTGAGCTTGTGTTCCTTTTCCTTCAGCATCCTGCATGCTGGGACCATCCCATGCTACTGAAAATGAGGATGCTTTGCTTCAGCATCCTGCATGCTGGGACCATCCCATGCTACTGAAAATGAGGATGCTTTGCTTCAGTATCTTGCATGCTGGGCCCATCCCGTGCTACTGAAAATGAGGAGTTTATTGTGCTCATGGCAAAGGAATGCAGGAGATAATTTGGGGACCTTCTGCTGGCTGAAGATGAGGCAATGTGAGGTGCAAGGATAATAAGTACTATGGTTAGAAAATCCTCAAAGACTGAGGTGAGGCCATGGAGGTAAAGGACTAAGTCTTCCTCCTGAACCAGAAGTTACAGGAAAGGCTTTACTGGTATTTCTGACATGATCTCTAACCTTAAGGAGTCATCTGCTGTGTGGCTACTCACACTACAGTTCTTAACATTTTGTTATGAGACAAGTTCATGCTCTGTAGACCAGGTTGGCTCCAAACTCATGATCCTTCTGCCTCAGCCTCCCGAGTGTTGGAATTTCAGGTGTACACCATTCATGATATTTCTATAAAGTGTTCCAGTTGATACATTAGAAAGAAATGACAGCATGTCACGCACTTCAACTCTGGAGAAGCAATGAATCTGGGTATTGAGCATCTACAAGAACCAGCAGACCCCATGTGCCTGCTAGAAAAGGAAGCACCTGCAGCCTTGCCCGGGATAAACCTGAGTGTGTTCCTGCTTTTGGAATCAGCTACCTACTGTCAAGAAACAGGGAGGAGAGGAAGGACATACCACAAAATGCAGACTGGAATGTTCTTCAGCCACACTACTTGGATTTAAAAAAAAAGTTATTTATTTATGTGTATCTTTCTCTGTGTGTATGCGTATATGTATGCTGATACCCATGGAGGCCAGAAGAGGGTGTCAGATCCCCTGGATCTGGAGTGAGAGGCAGTTTTGAGGCCACCTGATGTGGGTGCTGGGAAATGAATTTGGGTCCTCTGCAAGAGCTCTTAATCACTGATCCATCTCACAGCACTTGGAGTCCTTACCAGATAATCTGTAAGAATAAAAAAAAAAAAAAGTAATGAGGGATTTAAAAAATTTAATGGTAAATACCAAAATATTCTGGGAATATAGACATAGATTTCTATTATAAGGAACCAAGTCTTAATAAATATAGGAAAGTGGAAATAATTGCCTGTATTTGATCTGATCACAATGGAAAATGAAACTACAAAGCAACAGGAAGAGAAACTCATGGAGATCAAAGAGCCCACTATTGAACATCAAATGCGTCCTTGACGACATCAAGGAGAAGGTAAGAGCATTCCTAGAGTCTAATGAAAACGAAAACAACACATCAAACCTATGGAATAAATGAAAAAGTCCTAAGAGGGGAAGTTGCAGCATACGTGCCTGTATTACAGAATTGGAGGGGCTTGGAAGAGAGCTCACCAGGGAAAGGTACTTGATCCACGAGCCTGGAACCTGAGTTCAGTCCCTGAGATGCACAGGACGGTGGAAGGGGAGAGCCACTCCAGAAGGATTCCCCTCGACTCCCCAACTTCTATGGCTGTGAACCCACATACATGCAAAGCCTTTTTTTTTTTTTTTTTTTTTGGTTTTTTGAGACAGGGTTTCTCTGTGTAGCTTTGCGCCTTTCCTGGAACTCACTTGGTAGCCCAGGCTGGCCTTGAACTCACAGAGATCCGCCTGGCTCTGCCTCCCGAGTGCTGGGATTAAAGGCGTGCGCCACCACTGCCCGGCTCATGCAAAGCCTTTTAAAATAGGAGAAATTCGGTTCCAAACAGGACACTCATTGTCACATGTCAGGGCGCTGGAAAAATAAGAAACCGAACCTAAAATTAGCACATGGAAGAAATAATTACGATCAGAATGGAAATTAGTGAAATAAAAACGAATAAAACAAGATAAAGTATCAAAGAGTTCCTTCTTTGAAAAGATAAATAAGATTGGAAAACCTGTAGGGTCAAGCCAGATAAAGAGGGCCCAAAACAGTAAAACAGAGAGGAAAAGAGAGCCATTACAATAAATGCTAATGAAATGAAGAAAATTATTAGGAAATACCTTAGAAACTTGTATTCCACTAAATTGGAGAACCTAAAAGAAATAAATGAATTTCTAGTTGCTACCAAATTAAATGAAAATTAAACAACTTATTTTTTGACAGCAAAAATTATCTTTCATTGAACTTTATATGCTAGTAAACACAGATAACCAATTACTGTGATAAATATTACAAACTGAAGGCCGAAGAACACGGTGCTCAGAACCTCTGACTTGACTCTGGTCTTCATAAGGGAAGTGCTGCACACATATATTTATCGTTCAAAGAAATTAGTGCAAATGCTTTCATTTCTAGGTTTTAGACTAAGTTGCAGATCTGTTGGTGGCCCCATCACAAGCCATCTTCACACATGAATGCCTGCAGACCATCTAGTTAGATATGTCAATTCTTTGAGAAACTGAGAAAAAATACCTCTTCTTTATTTAAGTTAAAAAAATTGTTTTTCACACGAAGGAACAGACATGCAAGTAGTTAAGAGACATTTAAAAAAATTTAAAGATATTTTAAAAATTAAAATATAATCACACCATTTCCCTTAGATAAATAATTTTAGTGTATCTACAACAAATAATGAGATTGAAGCAATAATAAAAATCTCCCAACTAAAAACGTCCAGGTCCAAAGGATTTACTTATGAATCCTTTCAGTCCTTTGGAGAAGGGTCAGCCTGTCAAACCTTCACACACCAGGGGAGCAGAGGGCACCAACGACTTTTTAGGAAGCCAGAGTCACCCAGATACACATACGAGAGAGAGACAGAGAGCTGTCTCCCCGATGAACACAGGTGCAAAACAGTTCTCTCTGAGATCTGCAACCCAAACCTAAGAACACGGCCAGAAGTTCACCCACCGTGGTAAAGTGGGCTTCATGACACTGGTGGTGAAGGGTGGTTCAGCCTGGACTCCTGGACAGAAATCATGTGACCCAACAGAAGCAGAAAAGGCTTCTGATAAAATCCCAAATCCCTTCGTCATGAAAGGCCCGGAAAGACAAGAATAGAAGGACCCCTGTTGGCGTATCCAAGACTTCATGTGAAAATCCTACAGCCAACAGTGTACTAACTGGGAAAGATGGAAAGAATTCCCAATAAAATCATGTTCTCTGCTCTTACCCGATGTGCTGTTGGACATCTCAGCTGGAGCAGTAAGATAAGAGAAGCAGATAGGTTCAAACAGGGAAGGCAGAGTCGGGGTCTCTGACTGCAGATGATGATTCTATACGTAAGAGATCCCAGAACTACCAGCATCTGATAAACACTTTCAGCAAAATGGCAACATACAAAATTAACCCATGAAAATCAGAAGCTTTCCTATCAACCAATAACAGATATGCTGAGGAAGAAATCAGGAGAGCAACCCCATTCATAGTTACATCAAAACCGAGCCAAGCCACGCTGCTCCACTCCCACCAAAACATTGGAGGTCAGTGGATGAAGGCTCCGACCACTAAGCCTGATGACCTAAGTTCAGTCTTCCATGGTGGAAGAGAAAACAGGCTCCTACAAGTTGTTCTTTGACAACCATATGCTCACTGTGCGTACACACACACACACACACACACACACACACACACACACACACCCCAAACCAGATACAGGTGTGTATGTATGGGAGGTGGAGATGGGAGAATTGGGCTAGAGCTCCTGGCCTAGGCTTGGGTTCACAGTGCCACACAGACAAGGGGACTTTGCCTCGACAGAGTCGAAGGAAAGAACCAGACTCTTGAAACTTGTCCTCTGACCCCACAAGTGGGCCACACGCATGCACATATGCACGCATGCATACACGTAGACACACACCAAGCACACATGCACACACACACACACACACACACACACATACACACACACACACATACACACCAGAACACATCGTACAGATACTCTAATAATAGGCTAATGAAGGACTGGCACTGTACCTCAGGAGTAGAGGTCATCCCTAGTGTGCACAAGCCCCGGGTTTGATCCCCAACATCTAGAAAGGAGAGGAAGAGGAGGGGGAGAGGAGGGGGCGGGGAAAGAGAAGAAAGAAAGTAATGAGCTGCAATGGTGGAGGAAGAGCACCAGGATAAATGAAACCAAAAACAGGAGAAGGAAACAGTAAAACTAAAAGCAGAAATTAATGAAATAGAAAACAGATTCAATCGTAGGCACCAGGAAAGCAACCACAAAGCTCAGAGTGGGACTCTGAAAGTAGTTAAAGTAACTTCCTTCATGTGACAATAAAAAGAGAAGGGGTGCAGAGACACGGCAGACACTTTAAAAATCTGATAACTTGGCAGGCAGGATGGCTCAGTGGGTACAGGCGCCTGCTGCCGAGCCTGATGACCTGAGTTGATGCACAGGACCCACATGCTGGAAGGAGAGAACTGACTTTTGCAAGCTGTCCTCTGACCTCCATGCACACATAACACTGTGCCACCTGCCAGTGTCCTTGTACACACATGTGCCCAGGCTAAATCAATGAGATAAAAGAAATTGTAAAGCCCAACTTTAAAAAGAAAGTCTGATCATATAATGCCAGTACATTTGAAAAACCCAGCTGGAATAGTTTTCTAGAAAAGAATTTACAAAACTGACTCTCTATAAGAAAGTAAAAACCTTCAAACTTTGAACATCCATCACACAACCTTACCAACTAGAAAGCATTACGTTGAAATCCTATGCCCCCACCCCTGAAAACCAGGCTAATCTGGACTGAAGGTTTTGCCCACACTTGGGAGGGTTATCTAATTCTGCTTACTACACACATGGACATCCCAGCCCCACCCACAGACCAGTCACCTCATGGAGCTAGTTCAGCCTAGCTGAACGGTAGACAAGGGCAGTGTGAAGGAGGGAACCACCCAGGATCACAAACTCTGAGTGCCAGGAAACAATACGAACACCTGAAAAGAGAATAACGTTTGCCACACTGCACTTTCCCCCAGATGCACCCCTTTACCTCACCCCAAGCTCATGCGAAGACCTGCATTTACCCAGTTGCTGTGTTTGAGACCTGGGCTCCTTGGATGTCTCTTCCCTGTACATCCCTGTGTCGATGGCAAACCCACCCTTTATGCAGAACTCTTCTCACACCTCTTGCCTGGGTGACTGTCACCTCCCTGCCTCCCAAGTTGCTCTTGCCAGCTCCCCTGAAGTCTCTTCCACTGTACAGGGGCTGAGAGCCTATCTCTCCCCAGCTCAGAGTTCCTCAACACTGGGGATCTGTCTTAATTATTCATTTTCCACTACCTAAAACAGGGCTTGCTTGACACATGGTTGCTCAGTCTTGTCAGTTATGAGTGGATGAATATTAGATGATTGTCAAGATGACAAATAAAATTTTTTGGGGGGAGCGTTTCGAGACAGGGTTTCTCTGTGTAGCTTTGTGCCTTTCTTGGAACTCACTCTGTAGACCAGGCTGGCCTTGAACTCACAGAGATCCACCTGCCTCTGCCTCCCGAGTGCTGGGATTAAAGGTGTGCGCCACTGCCGCCTGGTGACAAATGAATTTTTTTTTTTTTTTTTGGTTTTTCGAGACAGGGTTTCTCTGTGTAGCTTTGCGCCTTTCCTGGAACTCACTTGGTAGCCCAGGCTGGCCTGGAACTCACAGAGATCCGCCTGGCTCTGCCTCCCGAGTGCTGGGATTAAAGGCGTGCGCCACCACCGCCCGGCGACAAATGAATTTTGATGAAGAAAAAACTTAGATGTTTCTGAAAGGACCCCCTGGCAGTCGTAGATCCATTGGAGTTTTAGGCAAGGGAGAAGCATTTGGAGGCGATTGGTTCAAACAGTATAAAAGCAGGAAAAAGCAGAATGTCCTTCAAAACCAGGGGACTTTAGTTGAATGATCTTTATTATGTTTGATGAAGGTAATGGATTAAATATAACTATGTATTTGTATATTTTACCTTCAAAGTGTATGTATTCAGGATGGCCAGTCACTCTTGTGACTTTCTCTTGGGGACTATTCATGTCAGGTGGCCTGCTTTGTTGAGTATTGACCAGGACCTGTCTATATAGCCATTTACAGCCAGCTGCTCAGCTACCAGGCAGTCATGCCTGCATCTAGGGGAAACCTCACCCTAGGCTTAGCGCCACAGGCAAGGAAGACTCAGAAGGAGAAGGGTTCCAGGCGCAGTAAGAGAGCTAGCGGCCCTGTCTGGGTTTTTCCACACCTGCTTGGGTGGTCTCAGCAGGGAGAGGGCAGGACTATGGGGCTCTGCATTGGTTTTGATCTCTAACCCTTGTGACCCCTGCAGGTCTCAGAGATTATCTTTGTCTCCATCTATACCTGTGAGTTCTTAATGAAGGTCTATGTGGAGCCCATTAAATATTGGAGGGATGGCTATAACCTACTGGATGTGGTCATTATCCTTATTATCTTGATACCCTATTCCCTCCGAAAGATCAAGGGAAAACATTACAAATTCCTCCATATTGCTGATGGTATACAGTCTCTGCGAATCCTCAAGCTTATCTCCTACAGCAGAGGCATCAGGGTGAGTGCCCATGAGTGCATGCGTGTGTGTGTGTGGCGGGGGGAATGGTGGTGGTGGTGGTGGGAGGTGGTGGTGGGGAGCAGTGGCGGTGGGTGTTGGTGTGAGATAAGGACTAGTCAAGCATGGTAGTACACGCCTTTAATTCCAGCACTTCCGAGGCAGAGGCAGGCAGATCTCTGTGTGTTTGAGGCCAGCCTGGTCTATAGAGTTCTAGGACAGCCAGGGCTACACAGAGAAACCCTGTCTTGAAAAACAAACAAACAAACAAACAAAAAATCCAAAAGCTCACTCAGAGAGGAGACAGAGAGAGAACAGCAAAACCAATCCTGAGAAAACCAAGCAACGGCCTGGCCAGGAAAATCCACACTGAGGAGGCAGCCTGGAGAAATGAAGCAGCAGCAAAGAAACGGAGCAAATGCCATCAGATGAGTGGCAAGAGGTTGTTTAGCAACTCCAGAGAGGCTGGTCACTCAAGAGAGGGCGGAAAACAGTCCACAGGGAGAGACCAGGAAGCGGGAACAGGAAGTACAGACACCGCTACCCAGAAACCTGGCCTGGAACTGGAGAGGAGTGGCTGTGGGCGTGTGCCAGGGGGAGAGCTCACATTTAGGGCTCAGACACACCCGGACTGGACAAATGGGCAGTAGACTCAGACAAGCCTCTTCCCGGAGAGCAGATCCCTGGGCAAACATGGGCTCAGGACGCATGCCCATAGGATGGGCTGAACGTGAGAGGTCAGCCTTGGGCCTGTTCTGAAATGTTCTGAAGAATGGTCCATGACCTTGGCAACTCAGGAAGAATGGTGCTTCCAGAGTGGCCATACCAAAATGAGGAGACCTTCCCCATCAAAGAAGAATGGCAGCCAGTGGTCAAAGCCACCAAAGCATTGGTGAGTCCTGGCACACAGCTCACAGCCATATGCACCATATGAAGGGCAGCCATGGCATGGATAGGAAAAGGATGGCTCAGATTGACTTGTACAGCCAGACACAGCTTTCAGAGTTCAGCCCTGACATTTCATTAAAGGTTTTTTTTTCCTGTATGTATATGTATGTGCACTGTGTGTGCCTGGTGCCCGTGGAGATCAGGAGAGGGCCTTAGCTTCCCTAGAACTGGAGTTACAGAAGATTGTGAGATACCATGTCAGCTCTGGGACCTGAACCTGGGTCTCCTGTAAGAGCAGCCTGTGCTCAACTGCTGTATCATTTCTCTAGACTTGAGCCTTGACATTTATGTGCGAGTAACCTTGTGCCTCAACTTATTCATCTGTAGAATGAAGCTAATCATGCTTTTTTACTGGTTTCAAGACCAAGATGATATTGGTAAAGATTGACCCTCCATACGGTCAGATGAATTAGCAGGAGATAACGCTTCAGTCATTATTTTGTTTTGTTTTGAGACAGGGTTTCTCTGTGTAGCCCTGGCTGTCCTGGAACTCACTCTGTTGACCAGGCTGGTCTCGAACTCAGAGATCTGCCTGCCTCTGCCTCCTGAGTGCTGGTATTAAAGGCGTGCGCCATCCAGATTGTCAACTGAAGTGTAAAGGAGTCAATAACAGATGAGCAATCTCAGTACTCAAAGTTAGTGTTTGGCTCCTGACTACTAATCATTCGAATGCCAGTGCCTCCCACCTCATGGCTGTGTGCTTGTTCCTTGGTTTTTCACAGAGTCCTGCCAGACAAGCACCCAGCTATCAAGGGCCCCACTGCCTCTGCTCACAGCATTTCAACCTGGAGCCACCACCTCCCTGCTCCTGGTTCCTGGGGCCTCACCATTTTCCCAATATCCAAGGGGCTAGGGAGGATGCTTCCTCAGTGCCCTGGGCCTGGCCACCTCTTCTGCTTGGAGGTACCCAGAATGCCCCAGGGCTAAGAGGACAGCAATGATTGATTCAGAACCCTAGGAGCTCAACTGGTACTAAGAATTGATTCTCCTAGCAACTGGGAATTCAAAAGCAGATGCCGCTTCTGGGCTAGACCACAGAACCCACAGACCAGGACTTCCAGAGACAGAGGCCCTGCCCTCCAGACCGAGTTTCTGTCTTAATCTGAACCGCACACTGCTGGGGCCTGTAGGCTTGTGCTTGCAGAGTGTGGCCTTGAGCAGCTGGTAGGGTCCGTGCAGAGAGGGTGACCTCCTTTCCTCTGGCTGTCATTTTCAAGGCTGCTCAGTTGTGACCTTAGGTGCCACCGGCCCATGGGTTGGTCTAGAGGCGGGAACCTGAAACAGCCACTTCCTGAGCCCTGTGCAGGTTCTACTACTGAGCACACTGGCTTCCTGCCTCTGTATCTTACACGTGTGCCATGGCCACAGTGCCCAGGGGTTCCCACTCTCTTAGGCCTTGAGAGAACAACTTAAAAAGTTATTTATGTGTGCCACATCCATGCAAGGCTCCAGGAGTGGATCTGACTCAGGCAGTGAGGAAATGAAGAAAACACAAATCACACAGACAGACACACAGACAGAGAAGCAGGAGTCAGTGGACTGTGAGCGCAGATGGGGAAAACTCAGCTGCCCACCCCAAGCTCAGTGTGTCGATAGTGTGGAGGTGAAGAGAGAGGCAGGGTTAGTGTACGCTGCTGAACAAGGGTGTGGAGTTGGTGCACGCTGCTGAACAAGGGTGTGAAGTTGGTGCACGTGGCTGAACAAGGGTGTGGAGTTGGTGCACGCGGCTGAACAAGGGTGTGAAGTTGGTGCACACACTGAACAAGGGTGTGGAGTTGGTGCATTCAGACAAACAAGGAAGCAGGCCACACAGCTGGTCGAGGGTGCAGGTCTAGCTAATCCCAATAGGAACAGTCTCCATGGGTGAGCAGTTTTCAGTCTGCAAACATCCCAGGAATGGGCAGAAAGCTATGCTGGACATTTTCTGCACACACTCTCAACATCCACACTTGGATCACAGGAAGGCTTTGCCTTGCCTTTGAGCCTCATGCCAAGGGGGAGACTTTACCATTCCTCTGCTACTCTGATGCTCTGGGATCCTTGACTTGGCTGTGCCCAGTCAACAGCACTCATTTCCCCACTGCTTCACTCAGGGCTTCCTCTGCTTTCTGTAGTTTAGTTCATGATTTTATTGCCCTTTCTTCTGTTGGCTGGCATGTCACAGAGATACTCACCTCATTTGTCCAGCATATGATAGAGGGTACCGACCTCAGTTGTCCAGTGTGTGGTGGAGATGCTTACCCCATGGCAGACAGGAAGCAGAGAGAGGAGTACAGGAAGGGGCCAGGACAACACCCCAAATGTGAGCCACCAGTGCTCTACTGCACTCAGCTATGCCCCACTTCCTGCTTTCTCCCTCCACCCCAAATACCATCACACTGTGACTCTATCAAGTGAGTAATCCATTGATTATGCCAGAGACTTCAGGATCCAGCCACTTCCAAAAAGCCAGTCAGCTGATTATCGAGCCCAAGTGCAGGAGCCTGTGGGAGGCAGTTCATAATAGCTTGAGAAAGTGCTGTCTCTGCCTCAGTTCTTTCAAAATTAACCTGAAAACACTGCTCTTATTCCTCAGGGGAATTTAGGGTAGCGTATTTCTCGGAGATGACCTCTCTGTGTCCTAGAATATGCCCATTGTCCAGTCCCTGCTCGTCTGTGTTCAGCTCCAAGCTGTCTTCCTAGTGCTGAACCAGTCTTGAGGGCCACGGTGCTCAGGGCCACGAGTGGCCGGTGGTGGCATGGGGAAAGGGTTTAGTGGTTACTCCTCACTCTGCCATTGTGTTGTGACCGGGACAAACTGGTCCTCTAAGCCTCTGAGCCTTCACCCTGACACTAGCCACCTATTTGAAATTGTGTCTCAGTCACTGTCCTGTTGCTATAAAGAGACACCAGGACCAAGGCGACGCTTATAAAAGAAAGCCTGTAATTGGGGGCTCACTTACAGTTTCAGAGGGTGAGTCCATTATCATCATGACAGACAGCATGGAAGCAGGCAGGCAGGCATGGCGCTGGAGAAGCAGTTGAGAGCTACATCCTGATCTTCAGGCAAAAAGAGAGACTGGGCCTGGTATGGCCTTTTGAAACCTCAAAGCCCACCCCCAGTGACACACTTCCTCCAACAAGGGCACACCTCCTAATCCTTCTAATCCTTTCAAATAGTGTCACCCCCTGGTGACTAAGCATTCAAATCTATGAGCCTATGGGGGCCATTCTTATTCAAACCACCAAATTCTACTTCCTGGCTCCCATAGGCTTGCAGCTATATCATAATGCAAAAATGTACTCAGTCCAACTTCAAAAGTCTCCATAGTCTATCACAGTCTCAACACTGTTTAAAAGTCCAAATTCAAAGTCTCCCCTGAGACTCCGGGCAATCTCTTAACTATAACCCCCTGTAAAATCAAAATTAAAAAAGTAGATCACATTCTGCCAACATACATTGGCACAGACTATACCTTACAGTTCCAAAAGGGAGGAAGGGAGCATCGTGAAGAAATACTGCACCCAAGCAAGACTGAAAACCAGCAGGGCAAACTCCAAATTCTGCATTTCCATGTCAGATGTCAAAAGATTCTTCAGATCTTCAACTCCTTTCAGCTTTGTTGAATGCAACATTCTTTTCCCTTTTGGGCTGGTTCCACTCGCTGTTAGCAACTCCCCTCAGCAGGTATTCTACAACTCTGGCATCTCCAACATCTTGGGGTCTTCAACACAACCCAGGCTTCACCTTCACAGCTTCACACAATGGCCTCTCTGGGCCTCCATTCAGGGACACCCCTGACACATGCCTGACTTCATCAACTTTCCTTAGCCATGGAGGGAGATTCCATCGCCCCTTTCTTCTATCCTTGACTCTAAAGCCAGAGGCACATGGCCAAAGCTGCCAAATTTTTCCTGCTTGCCTGGGCTGGAACATGACCTTCTTGTTCGATTACATCTTGACCAGCTTTCTGTTTTCTATGGTTTCTTTCACTGCCTAAGCTTGGCTATCTTGGAGCTTACTCTGTAGACCAGGCTGGCCTTGAACTCAGAGATCTTTCAGTTACATATTCACCAGCTTTCTGTTTATGATGGTTTCATTCCCTGCTTAAAAGCGTTTCTTTAGTTCGTTTCCACAAGTTGGAAGCTTAGCTAGCTGGGGTCTTGCCCTGAGGTCAGCACTCCCTTTATTTCATTTAGCATCAAGCTTTGCTTTAAACTTTTTATCTTCTTGAGCACCGGATTTAGCTCCATTATACTTCCTGATGCTCCTTTCCCCTCCAACTGTACCTTTTGTATTTCTCCTTGTCCCACTTGCTCCTTTTTATTGTAGATCTGCACAAGCGTGGCCATTAGTAACCATATGACACAGTCAATAATAGGCTGTGTTGAAATCTCCCTGCCAGCACATCAATCCAATCACCCCCATCCCCCACTTCCCTACTCTCCCCCTTTAATTTAGCCTCAGGCAGATTAGGACAAAGGCAAAAAGCAGCCATATTCTTTGCCAAAATATTAAAATAATGGGCTCTGGGTCACAATATTCTTCTTCTCTGGAACTTCTTGAGCTGGGCCCTCATTGTTCAAATTGCCCTTCTAGGATGGCCCATTAAGCCCCACTTAAAGCATCCAACCACTTTTCTAGTCCAAAGTCTCAAAGTCTTCCAAATGCCTCCAAAAAACAGCATGGTCCGGCCTGTCACTGCAATACCCCAGGCCCTGGTACCAACTTCTGTCTTTTTATTGGGGGGAGGTTTTCGGGACAGGGTTTCTCTGTGTGGCCCTGGCTGTCTTTCTCTGCAGACCAGGCTGGCCTCAAACTCAGAGATCTCCCTGCCTCTGCCTCCAGAGTACTGGGATTGGGTGTGTACCACCATCAACTTCTGTCTTAGTCAATGATATGAAAAGACACCATGACCAAGGCAATGCTTATAAAAGAAAGCCTGTAATTGGGGGCTCACTTACAGTTTCAGAGGTTGAGTCCATTATCATCATGACAGACAGCATGGAAGCAGGCAGGCAGGCATGGTGCTGGAGAAGCAGTTGAGAGCTACATCCTGATCTTGAGGCAGAAAGAGAGACTGGGCCTGGTATGGCCTTTTGAAACCTCAAAGCCCACCCCCAGTGACACACTTCCTCCAACAAGGCCACAACTCCTAATCCTTCTAATCCTTTCAAATAGTGCCACCCCCTGGTGACTAAGCATTCAAATCTATAAGGCTGTGGGGGCCATTCTTATTCAAACCACTGCAGTTTGTGGAAACACCCTTAGTAGGTCAATGATTATAAAGCACATACTCAGTGCAAGTCTCAGGGCATGATAACTGGACAACAAATGCATGGAGCACTCCAGGGACAGACAAGGGAAGGGAGAACAAGGAAATTACCCATTTTATAGGAGAAAGATGAAGATCCTTAGGTGGGGAGCTGCTTTGAGGTGAGGTCTGTAAAGAACGGGAGCCATTTTCCTGTTGGCCCTCTCTGTCCTCAGGTACATGATGATGCCCCTGTTCTTCCTGGGCCTGGGGGACAGCACATTTGGGGCTGGCTCTCAGTGGAGAAGCACAAAAGTAATATCCAGGGATGACCACAGATTGAGGCGGAATTCAAGTAGAGAGGTCACTGGGGCCGATGGAGAGGTGACCCAGACCTGAGACAGTGTACAGTCCACCCATGACACAGGGTGGGTGCCGCTGTGGGATTGGGGCAGCCCTCTGTCTGGGCACGAGTCTGAGCATTCACTCAGCTGATACTTGTTCTTGTGTGTCAGGCGTGATCCTGAGGACAGCTGGGAGCTGGTAGGCTGGCCCTCTAGGTTCTGGCTTAGCCAGGGGCACTGGCCTAGCTGCAGTATCCCTCCCTGCCTTGCAGACACTCATCACTGCTGTGGGGCAGACGGTCTACACGGTGGCCTCTGTGCTGACCCTTCTCTTCGTGCTCATGTACATCTTCGCTATCCTGGGATTCTGCCTGTTTGGAATGCCAGAGAAGGGCGACCTGAATAACTGGGGGAACCTGGCTGCGGCTTTCTTCACCCTCTTCAGTCTGGCTACGGTACCGTGTCTGGGGACTGTGGGGAGGGCAGAACCTGGAGAGGGACTGTCTAGGAAGGGTGAGCGTGTGGACATGCTGGGCCTCTTGTGGGACCTTCCCCATGTTCAGGTGCTTATTAGTGGGCACAGGAAACTGGGACTGGCATGCTGGGACTGGTCAGAGCCCAGTGTGTTCCATTTCTGTCTCTAACCCCATGACTTTATAAATCATGCCATGTGTTGCACAGGGTAATAAAACTCGCTAGAATTCTCTAATGATACTTAATTTGGATTAACCTTAAGTTATAAATGAAGCCCACAGCATACAGCTTTAAAAAAGTAAGCTGTTACAAATTCACCCAGAATAAGCAAAGCCCAGGTCTCAAAGTCTAGACTTTTGAATTATTTTTAAAAAAACTTTGTTTTGCTTTTATTTTTTCCAAAGATGGGCCTGGAAATAGGCTGTGCATTTTAGGAGAAAATGGGAGGTCTTGAGAGGAGAGACTCTCTTAGGCACGTTGGCTCCCAACTAGTGGTACCCTGCGTTTCTGTGTACAGAGGACAGCGGTGGATGGGGAGGTGCTGAAGGACTGATGTGGAGACTGAGTTGGCAGCACTTCAGTGGGTCTGGTGCTCCTCCGGCATAGGTGACGTGGAAATGTACTCTGCCGGGTCTCGGTGCTCAGTATACCCTGTCTTGCCTGACCAGGTTGATGGCTGGACAGACCTGCAGGAACAGCTGGACCAGCGGAAGTTTACTGTGAGCCGGGCATTCACCATCCTCTTCATCTTGCTTGCTTCCTTCATCTTCCTCAACATGTTTGTGGGTGTAATGATCATGCACACAGAGGTGAGGCTGTGCTTGTAGTGCGTGTGTGTGTGTGTGTGTGTGTGTGTGTGTGTGTGTGTGTGTGTGGACAAGCTGGATTTGTGTCTGTCTTATGAAGTGTTGTGGAGGTAGCCAGACGGCCCCTCTCATGTGTGCCTGACTCTCCTTATGTTCATCACCACGTGACGGGGGCTGGCAGGCCAGCAGAGCTTAGGAAACGGTTGCAGCTGTGGGTGACAACTTGAGTAGGGGGTTGGCCTGTGTCGGGTGGGCCTTTCTGCCGAGGTCTGAGCTTCAGGGCAAGCCAGGCAAGGAGAAAGACCGGGCATGGAAAGGGTACGGAAGAGAGAGCACGATCTTAACTCGTCTACTCTGCCTTGCTAGGACTCCATCAAAAAGTTTCAGCGGGAGCTGATGGTAGAGAGGCACATGACGCTTATGGAGGAGAAGCAGATGATTCTGAGGCGCCAGCAAGAGGAGGTCAACAGGCTGATGAACACACAGGTACGTGACTCCACTGTAGAGATGACAGACAGACAGACAGTGGAATGGCCAGGAGGAAGAGCTTTGGACTCAAGTGGAGGTCAGGTGGGGTCAGGCACATGTGGTTTTTGGTAAGGCAGGCCTCTTCCCCTGCAGCCATGAGAGCCATGCTTTCTTCCTGTGTTGTGTGTTTCCCTGAACTATTTGGACTGTTGAGTATTGTAGTTAGTTCTAATGCCCCCTCTTTGGTGGAAGGTTCTCCACTGTGGGGTGCTTCCTGCTGGAGCTTCTTACTTAGGCCCATCTGGTACCAGGCAGCTCGACCCCAGGGTGTCACTCAACCTCATATCCCCATACCCCTAAAATCAGGACAAGAATAAGCACAAGGGGCTGGAAGGCTGCTAAGCATGGTACCGCTTACGGCCTGCACTCTTCTGTCTTGTGTTCTTGGTCTAACCTGGGGGCCCTTCTGGGTCCCTCATTGTCAGAGTGTCTCTTTTCTGAGGGGGAGATGCCTGCCAGTCTAGCTATGCCCGAGATTTGTTCAGGGTTGGAGGAGGTCACATAGAATCACCGTTAGACGTTCTCTTGTCCTTTAGACCTTGGCCTCACACCAGGGATGGTGTCCATGAGACGGTTCCATTCTTACAGAGTCTTGGCTCAGTGGTCAGGACGAACTTGTGACTTAGGGTCCACAGGGTTCCCAGGTCTCTGTAGCCTCACTGCTGTCTTCATTGGCCCCTCGTTGCTTCCCTCTCTAGGAAAGCGGTGGCAAGAGCTTCACTGAGCTGGTGGAGGAATTCAAGAAGACCCTGCGGCACACGGACCCCATGGTTCTGGATGAATTTGGCACTAGCCTGCCCTTCATCGATGTCTACTTGTCCACTCTGGATAACCAGGACACTACTATCAACAAGTGAGTTACTGGTCCCCATGGCTTCTTTAAGGCCAGGGCATGTTGTAGACTCCAGGAGATTGAAGGGTTGGTGACCAAGGTGCAGGGTGGATGGGTACACAAAGGCCCTTCCTGGGAGTGTAGGATCCCATGGATGCCTGGACACTGGGCTGTTGTGTGCGTGGGTCTGTGGTGGAAGGGACTCTGCTCTGCTGGCCTTCCCAACTCTCTTTCATTTGTACCCAGATGTTAGCTTTCTTCATCCCTTCAGGCTCCTGCTCACTAACACTTTCCAGGGAGCAAGGAATGTGTGTGTGTGGGGTAAGTCAAGTGCAGAGGATCCTAGCTTGGCTCTGCTACCATCTTTCCATTATCTTTGAACAAGTGTCTGCCCTTTTCCTACCTGTCACATAAGGAGCCCCTGGGCCAGGTCTGATTCTCAGTACAAGCTAGCTGGGGTTTTGGCTGGCAGCTGAGGAGCTGTGGACATTAGTGAGCTAGTGTGGACTTCTGAGCAGACATCAGAAGCCTGACTTCTCTATGAAACCCTCTGGAAGCCTCAGAGACTAGGGTGACTGGAAAGGAGGGAACCAGGGATCGCCCTCACTGGGTCCCAGAACAGGACAGGTACTGTTTAGGTACCACCACACCATTCTTACTTGCCAAGTCCAGGGGTTTGTTGTGGACATGACGACACATGAGATGAGTTAACTTAGGTCAGGGGTCCCCAGCAGAGTGATAGATCAGGGTTCCAACCTACCTGAGTCTTTGTTTTCTCCTGACCCCACACATACCTGGTGGGTATGGCGACTTCACAGGTGCCAGTGTGTGGTCTGTGGTGACAGGGTGGCCTGGAGCTTGCTCTGTGCTCAGATCTCCCTTCCTGGTCTGCTCTCCAGGCTTCAGGAGCTGTACTATGAGATTGCGAACGTGCTGTGCCTGATGCTTGAAGACTTGCCACCCCGGGAAAAGTCGTCCCATAGCTCGGAATTCATGATTTAGAGGTAGTTGGGCATGTGTGGCCTCAAAGGCTGTGGCAGTTCCATTAAACACAGGCCTTCAGAGGTGGCTTCTCAAACTTGTTACAGTGTTGATGTTGGTAAGACCTACCTTTGGAGGACAGACCTGCATAAGTGCCTGGAAAGTTGATCCCCCAGGACCTTGGGAGCTGGAAGGGGAGGGGAGTTCAAGACTTGCCCTGGCTAATGACTCCATCCTGCAGCCTCCCTAGACCCAACAGCAAGGCCCACTGAGCTCCCGGGGAAGCTGCCTGAAGACCACAGACCAACAAGAGCATCAGCAGCTCTGTCAGTCACAGCTGTGCTCATGAGCCCTGAAGGCTGACCTGTGCAGGGGCCCCAGGCTGACAGAGACTGGGTGCTGTAGAGGCTCTTCTTTAGGAGTCCATGCTAATTCCCCTGAGATTCATGCCAGGGCATGTGGTGTGTGACCAGAAAGATTACATCATGGAGTTCTGCCTAGGGGAGCTGCCTACTGGCCATTTTAGGGCATCTCCTGGAGTCTGGAGCTACATACAGCCTTCAGACTTCTTCCCTCCTGTGGTTGGTTAAGACTCTTTATTTAGATGGTGGCATTTTCTGTGTCACTACTGGCCAAATGTCTCTTGGAGGTGAGAAAATGCTAACATCACTGCGCACAGTCACAAGAGAGGACGATCTGAAGATCTGCAGGGGCAAGCCGGGGCAGCAGGACCTCTTGCAATCCTGGTAGTGTCTACTTTCTCCTCATTGCTGTGGTCTTTGCCTGAGGTCTGGTACCTGGCCTTGTCATCTTAAGCAGAGAGGGAAGTAGGTTCTGAAAAAAGCTGTGGAGGGAGACTGGTGCCCACTGCTGGGTACCCAAGGCCCCAACCATGAGCTGAGGCCAAGACAGCAAGAAACAGAGGAGGTAGATGGTCTAGACAGTGGTTCTCAATCTGTGGGTCATGACCCCTTTTCAGGGGGTGGAATGACCCTTTCACAGCGGTTGCCTAAGATTGTCCTGCTTATCAGATTCGTAACAGCAGCAAAATTACAGTTATGAAGTAAGTAGCAATGAAAATAATTTTATGGTTGGAGGTCACCACATGAGGAACTGTTTAAAGGGTCACTGTGAGTTAGGAAGGCTGAGAACCACTGTTGTAGACAAAGGGTTCCATGGTTGGCCAATGGACTCTGGCTTGAGTTGTGGTCCCCTGAGGCCAGGGGACAAGGACAGGGGAAGGAACCTTTCCTCATGGTTTCATTTGTATTCGGAGCAGTGCTCAGTGAGCTGTGCCGGGGTGGGAGGTGGGGGATGGGGGCAGGGAACTCAGTGATGGAAGCTGAGTCCATTCCTGGCCAGTTTCATGTTCAAGTGTAGGGAATACCTTCTTTTAAGAGCTTCAGATCATTTCCACGTGCAAACACTCATCTTCCTAGGACATGGTCGGAACAGTGAGCACGTGGGAAGGAGAAATGGCTGGTGAGGGTGTGACACTTTGCCCTACATAGAGAACCTGTGGGGTAGTGAGTGCCATCCATCTATCTTCTGGGTGGAAGGACTTTGTGCTGATGCTGAGGCATGGGCCTGAGGTAAGTTGACTGTCTATGTCGCTGTGGTGGGGGAGAAGCTTGGGGTTTTAGTGCCTGGGAGGAACTTGAAACAGCTGTGGTAAGAGCAGCCCGTTAAGCGGGGTAGGCAGGTCCCAGGGAGTGGTTCCAGTTCAGGCCTAGAACAAAGCAGGCAGCTGTTAATTGCTGACCCTGTATGTCCCCCTAGTCCAAGGAACGTGTAAATCACCCACCTACTCCTGTCAGGAACCTTGGGAATTTCCCAGGCATTTTGAAGTGAAGATGAGGAGCCTTGCCCCAGGAAGGCCACCGACTTGGAGACTGGGGTGAATGTCTGCTCCTTTGAAGGCCCAGGTTCATCCTCTCACAGTGGGATGAAACTGACAGGTTGTAAGGAGCAAATTGAACACGTGTAAGAGAGTAAGAAATGTTGCCAGCCCAGGATTTGGTGCTGCCTGGTGCTCCAGCCCCTCTGCCCTGGGCTTGGTGGACAGAAGGAAGCTGAGCAGAGCAGAGGGTAGGAGCCTATGCAGGGCCCTGCGTGGATACATCTCCAGACAGAACTGGTTCCAAGTGTGAAAGCAGAAGGTCAAGTCTAGAGATCCAGGTCCCAGGCCCAGAAGGGCACCCAGGTAGGTGCACAGGTTCACCAGACGTGGGGTGCACTAGCAAGCCACCTTTAGGGACAAGAAGGCTTTGGAGAGCAGAGAACTGGGAGCGGCCACGTGGTCAGAGTTGGCCCAGCCCACCTGGCAGAGTAAGCCAATGGCTGTTTGACTCTCCCAGTCTGCAGAGCAAACACTGGCAGCTTGCAAGTCCCACTTGGGTTCTTACCAACTCAAACAGGCTTGGCCAAGACTCCGGTGGATTTTTGGGACAGAAATTCTGCTTGCCCAGGCCTGGCTGTGGAAAGCGAGATTCTCTTCCCTGCCCCAACCCCAGGGATCTAGCAGGGCTGTCCTGAGATTTCTGTTCACGCCAGGCCCTCCCCCTCGCTCTTGCAGGAAAGATGTGGAATCTAAGCTGGAGGTGGTTTTTTCTGTTTCTGTTGTTTGTTTGTTTGTTTTGTTGTTTTTAATCCCCTCCACCACTGTCGAGCCTTCCAGCAGTCCAGTGGTGTGGAGATCATCTCTTTTGATTCCATCAGCCTTCTGAAACTTAGTAGCTAGACACTGTTGACAGCACATCTTGGTGTCTTCGAACAAACAACACAGGATGTCTCTCAACCAAACTCGCCTTCGACAGGCAGGGTTCTCTCCCTCAGTGGCATCAGATCTTCGCCTGTTTCTCACTCTGGCCCTACATGGGCCTGCTCCATTGTTCTGCAAGCTTTTGAGAAGGTTACTGAAATCCTACTCAGTCGCCGCAGAAAGGAGATGTAGGCAGAAAAGAGGAGGGGTTCCAGTGTGGCTGACACACCTTCTTTAAACCACTCCTCTCTGGAGAGAGTGTCTTTGTACCTGGTCAGCCATGCCACTCTTTCCTGACTGGTCTCTCAGGTTTCATCAGAGCTGCGGTTCTCACCCTTGCTAACGCTGAGACCCTTTAATATAGTTCCTCACGTTGTGCTGACCCCGAACCATAGAGTTATTTCGTTGCTACTTCATAACTGTAATTTTGCTACTGTTATGAATCGTAATGTAAATATCTGATATGCAACCCCCAAGGGGGTCGAGACGAATGTTGCGAGCCACTGCCTTAGAGATGTGTGCTGAGTCCTGGATGCAACTGCGCTGTGCAGGGCAGGGCTGGGAGGAGAACATTCCTAGCTCTCTGTTCCCCTCCATGGTGGAGGACCAGGGCAACAGCAGAGCAGAGGGTGCATCTGCTTGTCCTCAGCAGCTGGAGGAAGGGAGGAGGAGGAGGAGGAGGAGGAGGAGGAGGAGGAGGAGGAGGCAGCGGCAAAGCCGGGGAGACTGGCTCTGACCCAGGGCAGGAGGGAAGGGGAGAGGGGAGCTGGAGAGCTGAAGTGCCCTTCGGGCTGAGAGGTGGATCCCCACTCTTCCCTGGGAAAGGCAAGCGATCTTTGGGATTCCCCGCCGCCCGCCCCCCCCCCCCCCCCCCCGACAGGATTTCTCTGTGTAGCCCTGGCTGCCCTGGTACTCACTCTGTAGACCAGGCTGACCTTGAACTCACAGAGATCCACCTGCCACTGCCTCCCGAGTGCTGGGATTAAAGGTGTATGTTACCATCACCAGCCTTTAGTTGTTACTGTACCTTTTAAAAGTGAAGCCCAGTACTCATAGATTAGACTGTGCACAGCCTGGGTTTTATTTAGATTATATTAAAGATCCTCTGGGGCATAGGCGTCTAGCTCAGTGGTGGAGAGTTACCTGGTGTGTGTGTGAGGCCCTGTTTTCCAAGATAGAGCCTGACAGAGAAACAGAGGTATAGGTAGATAAGACAAGATTCTCTTTAAACTGGGAGCTGTTAAGAAGGCTGGGTGTGGTGCCCCTCTTTAATCCCAACACTCTGGAGGCAGAGGCAAGCAGATCTCTGTGAATTTGAGGCCAGCCTACTCTACATAGCGAATTCCAGACCAATCAGGGCTCTGTAGAGAGACCCTGTCTCAAAACAAACAAACAAACAAACAAAAAACAAAAACAAAAACAAAACCCAACAACAACAACAAAAAACAAAGCTGGGTGATGATGGCACACACCTCCCAGCACTTGGAAAGTAGAGGCAGGTGGATCACTGTGAGTTCGAGGCTAGCCTGGTCTACAGAGCTAGACAGCCAGGGCTAGGACAGCCAGTGTTACACAAAGAAACCCTGTCTTGAAAAACAACAACAAAAAATGCATTATAAAGTATGAACTAAGCCTCCAGCTGGGACCGGAAGCTTCCTCTGGCTTCTCAGAGGGTGGTAGGACTCACAAAGGGAGCGTGGAAGAGGCCGCAGGGGAATGGAGCATTTGTTGTTTAACTCCAAGAAACAGGGTTATCTGAAGCCTGTGCATACCAGCCAGGGGAGAGGGAGGGACTCAGGGCAGTACCCCCGACTGCCTCCTGACCCTCTCCAGGGTGACATGCCTTGGGACTGAGGCCTGAGGTAAAAAAAAATTCCTCTTCAAAACATGATGCTGAGCCAGAGGAGGAGGAGCCCAAGCAGAGGTCAGGCCAGGAGCAAAGGTACAGCTCTCTGTCTTTGTTGGCGGAGGAAATCCTGCTTCTGCTTGCTGGCACTTCCTTTACCAGGAACCTAACCATGTACAGTGTAAGCACAGAACACTGACGGAGGCGTTCTCACGATTCCCATTAAGCAGGTGGCAAAGCCGAGATTCAGAGAGGTGATACAAAAGGTTGCCCAAGTGTGGAGGAAGAGCAGGGCTTCACCCAGCATGCCCGGCTCTTCCACCACCCTGCACGCAGCAGCCTCCACAGGAACCCTTTGTCCTGTTTTATAGGTGGGCAAGCTGGCACTAAGTGAGACCCACGTAGCCAAGATCAGCATTCAGTCAGTATCTGAACACAGGCCACACACGGACCCCTTTGTTCTGTTGGAGTACAGTGACCTTTTTCTTTCTCGTTAAAACTATTTCTTGAACTTTAAAAATCAAGCCATGATCCCTTCTGAGTAGGCCTGCCTGGCTGGGAGGGAGGGGGCTCACATAGGCCTGGTCTGGCTAGTTCCTTGGCCCCTTCTCAGTGCCTGGTGGAGCCCTCTGAAGTCTGGTTGGTCCTGGAGCCCCAGGAACCCTAGAGAGTGAGAGGCCGCAGGAAGCAATCAGTGTGTGTGGAGAGGGTGGTGACTGTGGTACCTAATCAGGAAATTACAGCCCGGGCAGAGAGAGGGTTTGGCCTAGCCGGTGCCTTTCCCTGGACTTCAGTACAGCAGAGCCACATGGAGGCTTGGCTGTGTCCAAGTGGGTGTGTTGAGCGGCACAAGTGGATCAGTGAGCGGGGCCAGGCCAGCCTCTCTGGAAGGGTAACTGATGATAGCTCGCTGGTGGGTGGGGGCTGTGGCACCTGGAAGAGGCACCTGGAAAAGCTGCCAAAGTTTGGTTGGAGTGGTCCCCCCACCTTGTCCCCCCATCCCGACTATTGCCAGGAAAGGAGAGAAATAATTATCAGGTGTGAAAAGCCTGTGGAACTGTGTATACACCATGCATGACACTATCTGTGTTAACCACACACGCATGTACACACACACACACACACACGCACACGCACACGCACACGCACTGATGAGTTTCCCACCCCCTTTTAGGTAACAGAAATGATAGATGCAATCCAGTGCTGGCCTGGGTTTGAAGAATGGGTCCCCTTTGTCCACATCTGGCAGAACAGATAGATGTGGCCTCATCATAAGGCAATGTAGGTTGGCTTTGATACATGCATTGTCTAAGGAGCCCAGTGACGAGGGAAGGAGATGCTTGAATGGGCCTCCTTGCTGTGACTGCGCAACAGAAGGGAATGAGGAATCACTTCACACTCATGGTGAGAAAACGGACTGAGTTACTACTGGTCATCCATACGCATGGAAAACGGACTGAGTTACTACTGGTCATCCATACACATGGAAAACGGACTGAGTTACTACTGGTCATCCATACGCATGGAAAACGGACTGAGTTACTACTGTTCGTCCATACACATGGAAAATGGACTGAGTTACTGTGCATCCATACATGTGGCCGTTAGAAGAGTTTGTTGATAAAAGATCATCTTGGCATTTAACTGAATAAAAAAAGTGGCCTCTAGAGCCACCTTTGATAACACAGGTGTCTATGCTCCTCTGGAAGCATAGTCATGGAAATCAGAGTTTGAGGGCAATTGTTGCTTTTGCCCCGATCCCAATCTAAAACTTTTTGAGTGTTAAGAATTAATAGTATTTTATGATCAGGAAAAGTACAGAGTTTTTATTCTGAAAAAATATGTTAAATGACATGCGCATGTGTGCTTATGTGTGCACTTGAAGTTGCATGCACATCTGTGATAGGCGAAGGGTGTTTCAGGCAGAAGGGGAAGAGGGCAGGAGTATGCAGAGAGCTGAGGTGTTGGGGTGGCCACACGCTGCTAACAGGATGAGGGGCCCTGTAGGCAAACGGGGAGAGCAGATTGCATCGGGACCCCGAGAACCCTGAGTGTCTGTAAGCAGGGCAGTGACCTGGAGGTAGCTGTGTTCAGGGTTGGCACTGGCATTTTAGGCTCTCCAGTCCTGTCCTCTGTATCTCCCAGGAGTTCCCCTTGCCTGGCTCAGGCCTACCTCAACTGCACACTTGTTCCCACGCCTGTCCGCACCACACCCCCTCTTACACGAAGCCTTCCCAGATCACTCCTGTTATCCTTGGACTTCTGCTGCTGCCAGTTTACCCTCAACTTTTCCTGTTTTTCCTTAATCCTTCTTCATGTGACATTTCTCCTAGCATTAGCTGGGGACAGACGTGGTCTATGAGGTTGGGCCCTGAAGTATACCAGCTTTAGAACCCTGACAGAGGGAGGGAGAACATGGATAGCAAACAGATCTCATGCTTATTTTGAGCCTTGCGATGTCATAGATGCGATTACAGATGTGGACACAGGGACTCACTCCATCCATAGGTTCCATGGCAGTGAATACTAAGGCCACCATGCTGTGAGTTATACTCAGGCTCGGCATGATTCCCAAGTGTGCTCTCAGTGCCTCTCACTGTTCTGTCTTTGGCTCTCACCCTCAGGTGCTGGCTGAAGGGAGCGGCAAGGTGGGGCCATCTTGCGCACTATTTGCTCAGTACTCAGTCATCTCAGAGAAGGGAGGGGATTCCAACTCACCTAGGAGGAACTCTGGGCCTCAGGAGAGTCCAGGGCAGGGCAGCATCTCTGTCACATCCTTAGATGGTAGAAGGAAAGAGTGTGCTGGAGTCTGGCCTGGAGGGAGGCTGGACACACTGAGCACGAAAGAGCATCATATGGGCTCAAGCTATAGCTCCATGGGAGAGTGATTGCCTAGCATGTTCCAGACCCTGGGTTTGATCCCAGCACCATGGAGGGAAGGGAGGGGAAATGGGGAAGGATTCCTCATTCAGCAGTTCTCCAGAGGTAGGAGGTGATGAAGATGATGAATTTTGTACTCTTGACTAAGCAACTCCCTTACAAGCCATGCGTACTGGTCACATCCAGGAGCCGAACACCCTGATAGGAAGCTCCAGGAAGCAGCAGGCAGGTCCAGTGCCTGCTCAAGAGTGGGAAACTCAAGCGCTGTGAGAGAGCCAAGGGTTTAATGTTCCGGTGACCTAACAGAAAGGACTTGGCAAGCTCTCCAAGAAAGGACAGCTGCTGAGTGGCTGGAATCTCGGTTTCTGTTCCCACCCCCAAGGCTTCCCAGGTTCCTCATCAGTCCTGACTAAGTGGGTATTCCTGCCTCAAGGGGCTGGGGAAGTCTTGGGAACCTGGTGGGCTGTGGGGGTCTGCATCAGCCCCATCTGCGCTCTGGACTATGGGAGAGCCAAGAAGCTCAGAAGCAGCCTGGCGCTCACCATGGATTGGTGACCATCTTCTCAGCAGCCCTAGTGGCTCAACAGGACTGCCAGCTTGAGGTGGGGGGACCCTTGGCCATACTCGCAGGGGGCTGGGGGCTTTCACATAAAATGCCCTTTACTGTGTGTGCCTCCATGAGCGTGCGTGTGCATGAGAAGGCTTCAGTGGGATGAACATTTCTATTATGTCCTGGAAAGTTCCCAGAGAGACCACAGGCAGGCAGTCTGAGGAAACCCTGGCGGGCCTGTCAGAACCTGGCAGGCAGAGAGATGGCCAGGCGCTCTGAGGCTGCAGTGGCAAGTTTGCCAAGCACTTTCCATGAGGCCACTGGGACGTCAAACGCTTGGATCAATTAAAT